ACACTTTATCATCTTTGGCATACCGCTCTTTACACAGTTATTGGCGGTAAGCGTGCGCGAAGTTTGGTTTACTTGATGAACTGAAAGAAATTCGCCTACCTATTGGTGATTGCATACGCCCTGGTGTTTTCGTTTAGAACAAATGCAGCTGAAATTCAATGAACTGTGTTATTTCTAATGAGCATCTGACAACACCTGAATTTTTACCCGGGTCAAGTTTAATTCTTGTGTGAGCCATGTCGAATACCTGTTGCATTTGACGTCTCCATCTTATCAGAAATCACCACCTCACCAACTACTGTGAAACATAATTTTTCACATTTGAAAATAAATAGGCGCAGGTCAAAATAAACCTCAAGCAGGTATATTCGAATTACAAACTGACTCGTGCTGGTGATGACGTCTACCTTGGGAACATTGCAGTCTTTTTCAAATGTTGACTATCGAAATGGCAATCTCCATCACAGTACACTTATACGGAAAACTAAACTGAGGCTGCTCGTCGCTCTCAGAATGGACAGATAGTGTTATTCGCGTTGCAGAACAAAAATGCTGAAATTCCGCCTCATATACGTCAAGCAGTTCCATGAAGGCTTGATAACTACTCCAAATATAAAATGTGTTAGGTTCCTTGTGTATTATATATGTATATATAAGACCAGAAACTGATAGACATCAGGCATAAACTCCCCCGATTTTCTTATAAATAGAGGTGTTTATATCTACTCGCCGAAAGCCCGGAAATATTTGGTGCTGTAAAGGTGTACTGTTGTAGTCGAGATACGGTTTCCTAGCGAAATGTAACAGTCATTTGTAGAAAACGGGTTCGATAAAATGCGTACCATGATGATGGTTGGCGTACACCAGCCCCTAAATTTAGTGGTAATAAACAATGACAATCATTGATTTAGCACTAACAGAAGACTGTGAACGTCACTAGCCAGAGCCTATCCTGCAGCTAAGTTGGTTTCCGTCCATCGAACAACATGCTGTTTGGTGCAGTTAAAAGTCGATAGGTACCCTTCTCATGTTAACTCCAACTGTATACAAATTTACATGCATCTGCGAGAGCAGTTACATTGGAAGAACAAAAAGAAGGGCACACCTCCGATTTTCTGAACATGTGCCAGAAAGCCTACGTCTCAAGAAAAAAACTCTTACAGTAGCGCTATTACTAGACATCTCGACACGGGTAATGAGGTAGAAATCGAGAAATTATTTAGAATTATCAATAGACAAAGGAGTTCCATTCTCCTCAAGTTTGCCGAAGCAATTTCTATCAAACGCTTGAAACGAGATTTATGTGTTCAAAAAGAAGCAGTTACTAATCTTTCCTTGCCCTGGTAACTGAATGTCTTTATTCTCTCATCTGATTACGTAATCTTTGTCTTTAACCTCACCTCCTTTTATAATCTGTAATTTTGCTTGTCTCTTGTTTCTATGATTTGAGTTGAACTCAGTACATTGTTACCTAATTTATTAGTCACTCTGTATCTAACGCATATTTCGTCTTTATTACGTAACTCTTTTACCATTGTATGCATACATTTATTTTGTTTAAACTTGAACTGCCTGTGTAAAAACTATATAAGCGCAATTTTCTGAGCACTGTTCACTTATTGTGGAACTTTCTGTCAACTGACATCATGAAAATACTTGCAAGTATGTTAAAACGTTTCTGTACGCCAACCTCATAATTTATTTAGGCTGTGAGCAGATGATGAGAAGCCAACGAAATAAATGATGGTACCATATTATTCTGCCCAAACCACTGTTGTTCTTGCTTTATTCAGATTTAGCATCTCTCTCTCTCCACTACTTTCACCTTTCTGTTAAATTTTTTGATATATTTGCTGAACATTATATCACCTACTGAACACTTCAAACCTGAGTATTAGAACGGTGCTAAGTCGTAAACTCTACTTACTACAAAGGAAGTTGTCAACTTATCTCGGTCAGCTCAGAACCTTCTGCGATAAATTATCCGATCATTATTTCTGAAACATCTACAACTCATGTCAAATTCGCAAGACTCTTAAGCATAACAAAAGATGACCAAATTTGTATTGATATCACCATGACTTGCCAAATATTTATTGATATCTAAGAATGAAATCCAAGTTGTATCACGAAGCTCCTAAGAATCATCCTATTGACCTTCAAGTACTCCCTTGTGTCAATGCAACATGTCAAGGTAGTTGCAGAGTAGATGGGTATGTTGGGAATTCATCTCCGGCCACAGGACAACACACATGTTAAGACGCAACATAGTAATAATAATATGAAGTGCAATTAAAACTAGAATGTTTGTGATTATAATCGTAGTTAAATGTCAAGTGGCAAAGCAAATTAATGTCATATATAGAATAATTCATAGGATGGATAGAACTTGAAAAAGGTGTGCAATTATAAGATTAGTAGACAAATCGAAAAAATAAAAACGTTACGTAATATTGTGTGAAATTTAATAGCATAGAATTTAATGTTGCATAAAGGAATTGATTTAGAATGACAAGTGGAACAAGTGAAATAATACCGGGGACAATTAAAAGTGAGAGTAGTAATAGTAACAATTGACTTAATAAGGAAGAGTATACAAATTGAATAGACAAAAAATGAAAAAATGGAGAGTTGGTAGAGCTAAAATATGATTGGGGATTACCATACTTTAGCATAGAGGGATTAAGACCATGAAAGTTGGAGGGGTTGAACGAACTTTTTCTGTACACAGAGATCTGGCTTTTCTGTTTCGATAGCCAAAGCTTCAGCAATACAGATGAGTCGAGTACGTAGGGATTTGGGTAGATTGCTCTTTGCCTTGTAGATGACTTTGAAGGCGGAGGCTATAGAGATAGGGTGATCATTATCTACCAGATGTTCAATGATCGCGCTTCTTATTGCTCCACTACCACCTTTTCGTAACCATGCAGGATAGTGTTCTTGCACCCTCTTGGACAAAACTCGTGTCGAACGACCGATATACCTAGCTCCACAAGAGCAGGTGAATTGATAAACACACATAGAGTTGGTCAACAGCGGGATCTTGTCCTTCAGGTTATTCAACAATAATGGTCGACTAGAAAAGGCTATTCTCAGGGATGCAGCAGGGAATGTTCTTTTCAGGGATTGTGATATCCTCCGTTTCATGATATCGGAAGCTAAGTCCCCTTTGAATTCCAAGCTCATGTAAAGTATCTACTTGGGTACGGTTGATAACTCACGTTTTTTAGGATTTGAATGAATATTCTTATCTATAAAACGTGGTGGAAATCCATTTTCTATTAGGATTTTCCTCAAGATCCCTACGTACTCGACTCATCTGTATTGCTGAAGCTTTGGCTATCGAAACAGAAAAGCCAGATCTCTGTGTACAGAAAAAGTTCGTTCAACCCCTCCAACTTTCATGGTCTTAATCCCTCTATGCTAAAGTATGGTAATCCCCAATCATATTTTAGCTCTACCAACTCTCCATTTTTTCATTTTTTGTCTATTCAATTTGTATACTCTTCCTTATTAAGTCAATTGTTACTATTACTACTCTCACTTTTAATTGTCCCCGGTATTATTTCACTTGTTCCACTTGTCATTCTAAATCAATTCCTTTATGCAACATTAAATTCTATGCTATTAAATTTCACACAATATTACGTAACGTTTTTATTTTTTCGATTTGTCTACTAATCTTATAATTGCACACCTTTTTCAAGTTCTATCCATCCTATGAATTATTCTATATATGACATTAATTTGCTTTGCCACTTGACATTTAACTACGATTATAATCACAAACATTCTAGTTTTAATTGCACTTCATATTATTATTACTATTTCATGCATTCACACCTATGTTTCAATTCCCTCACCGGATATAACTTCTTAAAAACCATATATATACGATTGTACAGCTTGATGATAAATTCGTTGAAAAGAGTCTCTTCGCTGAATCATTTGTTTTGATTTTCTATATGTTACAATGGGAATTTTCCATGATCTATAAAGTAAACAAAAATCTGCCAGAGACAGTGTGCTTCCGACTTCTTTGTACTGCGGAGGCTCTCGCCATATGCATCGAAAAGCCGGAGCTTTGTGTTCAAAAGAAACTAGTCCAGCCTTTACAACTACCTTATTCTTCAGTTTTTTTGTTATATGTGTGTGTAATTTTCTCTCTTCCCCTTCATTCAATTCACCCTATTTTTTCAGTTATAAAATCAGTTATTTCAAGTTTGCTCCCATGCTCCTTCTGATCACACTTGTAATCCGTTTAGAAAAACCCTTTTACAATTATATCCTAATCCTGTGTAATTTTTTGTTTCTATGCCTCTTGTAATCTATATTCACACCTCCTAACTTACATTTCAAGTTGAAAATTTTGATTTTGTTCACACCTGTAATTCCTTCTAAGCCTCTTGTAATTCATATCAAGTTGAAAATAATTATCACGTTTTATTCGCCTTTAAAATTATTTCTCCAGTTGTCAAATAATAATTTTGCATACGTTGTAACTGTTATCTAATCCTATGCAATCTTGTCTCTAAGCCCCTTGTAATATATATTCGTACCTTCAAGCTTTCATATCAAGTTGAAAATTACTATCACCTTCGTTACTATGTGGAATTAAACAAATAAGAATTGTATTCATGTAAACTTATCTATATAAATGCGATTGTACAGCTGCTTTTGAGAATGAAATCGCCGAAAAGATCGATATCTTTGCTGAACTTCTTGTTCTTCTCAATCTAATGTTCGAATGGGTATTTTCCACGATTTGAAAAATTTATTCCCTATTATATGAAACACTGTAGGATTTATACGATCAATATATACTGTGATTGCTGGGGTTAGGATGGTTTATTTCACAAGAACATTAAAAAAAAATAAAAAATCAAGTCAGCCTAGTTATATAGTTTATTTTACAAGATGATGATGATGACTAAATATTACTAAACTTGACTTGAAAAGTAGTAGTCACGATATTTTTGCTCCAAGAGGGAAATGAAAGATTATTTCGATACTTTTTGTTTAGAGGATTCAAACTTTTCAACAATTGATCTTGTCGCCTGTAAGACATCAGCGGGCAGCTGAAACACAATATAAATAAGATTGAATACAAATAAGAAGTTTACAACCGAATACACACAAAAAGTAAAGTAAAGGAGATTCATGTGTGTGTGTGTGTGTGTGTGTTGACTCAGGAAGTGTGCTCATGTACGGCAAGGAGTATTTCGAACAACAAAACTTGCCATCCACATATCACTGAATAATCGTCGATAGACGACTGGCCTTGCAGCCTGATGATCCATGGGTCGACGAAAAGGCGTGTGTATACTACCCACAGCACATTTCTCCGACCTTCTTTATGGCTACGAGACATGAAAAGACTGGCCGGCTATCTGTCTTTCATCAGAGGTGCTTGCGTTCTATCTCCCGTGTAAAGTGGTATAATAAGGTGAGCAACATTCAGGTTGGGCGTCGGTCGAGTGCTAGGTAGGCAGGCTGTGAAGTTACATCGAGTGAGATGGTTAGGATATGTGTTATGCATGCATGCCTAGCTATCGCTTTCCTCGACGGCCAATGTTAGCTGACTGACAGTGGATAGATGAGGTGGGAAAAGGAATAGTAGTGGTCAAATCAGTCAATAAAGTCCACAACAACAGTTAGTTTAAGCCAGCCACGTATAGAGTATCTCACTGGTGTAGGTCCTCGGGATGGTAAGAGCCAATGACGGCTGGAGACAATCGGTGATATGGCTCAAAATCGTTCTCAATGTCTAGCGCAGATACATCCACTCCTTGCGATTTATCATTTCCAATAAAACGATATTTTTCTTCCATATTAGTATTCTTTTTGCCGCATTTCTTTGTTCTGAATCTTTCTCTACTCTCATCTTTTGCTTTCTGTGTACTACAAGTAGGGAGTGTGACGAGTTTAACTGCTGCACATTTGTGCAAAGTTCTACGTTGGAACCAGTCAAGTCAGTCAGGGAGTCGACGATCCTCAGTCGGGTTATATGGGTGAGTACCACCACAGCTGTCCAGTACTTATACAGTTCCTAGTGTATCTCTAACTGATATCAGTTAGAAAGGGAATGTTGAGAAGAACACACTTCCAAGGAGTTTATTCAATCGATCAGCATACAAATTATACATTATATGTAGATATATATGATCTCTATTGTTATGAGATGACGACAGTAATGCACTTATTACAAAACCAGAAGTGTGAAAAATGTGTAACTTACATTTTTACTTTCTTCCAACCGGTTACAGATAATTTGAAGCGTGGGTAGGATACAAATCGCTGACAAGTCAACATTATAGGCTGGTGATACAGCTGTACGTATTAATTGGTGAAGGTTGTCTTCATTATTTGAAAGAGCTATAGAAGGTGAAGGGGAAGAAGACGAAAGATGAAATGCAAAGTTGTATTAGTTAGTATCTAGTATGTTAAGACAAGACACCTCTCTATATCAACTTCATTGTCTTTGAAAAGGCCTTTGACAGCGTCGATCGAGAGGTGATTTGGCAAGTAATTCGCGACTACTAAGGGGTGCCACCGACAATTATACATCTCATCCAACAGCTGTACGACAATGCTGCATGCCAAGTAATCCACAACAGGAAACTTACGGAATCCTTCGAAGTGAGGACAGGAGTAAGACAAGTTGGCTGCCTACTATCGCCAATGATTTTCCTGATTGCAGTAGATTGGATAATGCGACAAACAGCGGGCAATGAGGAAACAGGCATAAAATGTACTCACACAAAAAAAATGGAGGATCTGAACTTCCCCGATGATATATGTCTGATTTCTCACAAACTCGAAGATATGCAAGCGAAAAGCAACAAGTTGGCAGAAGAAGCACCCAGGGAAGGTAGATCTTAGAGGTCATAGACTAAGTTGACACGTGCGTAATAAATTCAAGCCTACCTGGTGAATTCACTGTTAAGTGACGCTGAATAGTAGATTTCGAACAAAGGGACATATACATACATCACTGATAATTAAAAAAATTTCTCTACACTTCCAGTGGAACATAGACCTTCCTTCAAGCTAGAGGCTTGAAGTTTTGGTAGTAGTGGTGTTTATTTTTACGGGATGGGGTGTTACTAGCCTCATGTTCAACCTTCCCTCTTTACCGGTGTTATTACTGGCTTAGCGAGGTGAAGGAATGCGTTGGTGGCCGGGGATCGAACCCCGGATCACATGCATGGTCGGTCACCGACGCGCATCACTTATTAATAGGGTCAGAGCAAAATAGTAGTGAGAAGTGATATAACGTAAATGTGTAAAGCGAATAAGGATGCAATGGAGCTGTGATACATTATTTATCCCATGTGTTCTGAAAAGATTACCTAGATGGTTCAGTATTTAGAAAACGAACTAAACATGCCCGCGGGGTCCGAAGTTCAATTCTCAGACGACGTTGCACTCGTAAACCTAGTACAACAGAGGGAAGGTTGAGGCGTTAGCGGCTAGTGACCCAACCCTGTGAAGAAACACCTCCACCTTCACCACCAGTGCTGATGAAACTGCAAAGTTTGAGGTTCAATATTCCTATCGGAACACGCCAAAGAAATATAAAGGACGAACAAAGAACAAATAAAAACGCACACGCAAGCACACATATCATACCTGCATTACGAAGAGTATAGTCAACAAAGCCTGGAATGTGTTTTGGATCAATAGTCTTCATATATTCCATAGTTGAATGAAAAGCAGATTCTGTCAGTGGATGTCGAGGACTACCAACCAAAAATGTAAATGGTATGGTTGTATTTTTCTGAAAGATAAGATTGAATGATAAAACTGTTGAAAGCTATTTTTTCAAAATATTATATACATTGGAAACACAACACAAATGCCTCCGAGTATGACTTTTATTCAAAAAATCAATAGCGCAATATACTATACATATATTACGTAACAGAACAGAACTTGAACAAAGCAAAAACTACAGTTTTAGCAGAATAAAGTGGTACCATCATTGTTTATTTCGTTGCCTTCTCGTCAGCTGCTTACAGGGCAAAGACATTATTAAATGTATCTACAAAAACAATTTTAACATACTTGCACAGAGTTCACTTTTAAACAAGAATCAATCGATCAATATATGTATTCAGTAATAATATATACGTATATTTATGTGTGATATTAAACACTATTCAGAACAATAATAATCAAACAAAATGGAAACTTTTCAGCATTTCGCATTCGGATGAAAGAGAGATGAAAATATGAGGTTACCAGGTTGGCAAAGAAAGACTGATAACCACTTGTTTCTGGACGCATAAATCAGGTTTCAGGCGCTTGATGGAAATGGCTTCAACAAACTTGAGGAGAATTGAGCTCTTTTGCTTATTGATAATTTTGAGTGACTTTTCCACGTCCACCTCATGACCCGTGTCGAGGAGATACCTTGCGATGGTACTGTTTAAAGTATTTGTTCCCTTTAGACGTAAGCTTTTTGATACATGTTCAGAAAATCGTAGATATTCCCGTTCTTTCTGTTGTTGTAATGTAACTGCTCCTGCATATACATGTAAACTTGTATATACAGTTGGAGTTAACATGAGAAGGATATCTATCGACTTTTGATTGCATCAAAGAGCAAGTTGTTCGAAAGACGGGAACGAGCTTAGCTGCAGGATAGGCTATGGCTAGTGATGTATTCAGCCTTCTGTTTGGTCACCGCTGCAATGTTTTCACCTTTATAATCAAGCTGAATGTAGATTGGCTTTTTACCCACTGTGATTTGTTTTACATTTGTGACTTCAGATCTTCCATACTTGTTGATGCACCTTTGACGGTACCAATTGCTCTTCAATATCTTTCCAAGAAACTCAAATTCTTTCTCTAATTTCTCTATAGAGCATATTCTCTTCGCTCTATAGTACAGAATCTTGACTAGACCACGTTTAAACTATTTGGACAAAAGCTATTAAAATGTAAATATTGTTCTTTCCATGTGGGTTTTGCCATGGTAACTAAATATTTTTCACCTCTCTTTCATCTGAATGTGAAATGCTGAAAAGTTTCCATTTTGTTTGATTATTATTGTTCGGAATCGTGTTTAATATCACACATAAATATACGTATATATTATTACTGAATACATATATTGATCGATTGATTCTTGTTTAAAAGTGAACTCTGTGCAAGTATGTTAAAATTGTTTTTGTAGATACATTTAATAATGTCTTCGCCCTGTAAGCAGCTGACGAGAAGGCAACGAAATAAACAATGATGGTACCACTTTATTCTGCTAAAACTGTAGTTTTTGCTTTGTTCAAATTCATTAAGGGGAATAAATGTATGAAAGAACAGAACTTATCTGAAAACTCTTCTATGGACAAACTTTCTACAATATTGGTAATTATATATATATATATATGTCATGGTCATCTTTTGATTTGATCCTTGTCTTGGCTACTTTTTAGTTGATGTCCAATTTGTAATGCTGCTTCACTCTGCTGCTGCTGTGAAGAAGTGCTTTCATTGAATGAACACTTGGTTGATACTCTGATCACTTGTTACTACCACTAATCTCACTTCGAATTGTCCCCGGGTATAATTTCTCTTGTTCCACTTGTCGTTCAAAAGCAATTTTGTTTTGTGACGTTAAAGTCTATGTTATTAAATTTCGCAAAATATAGTGTAACGCTTAGTTCTTATTCTATTTGCCTATTAATCCTATAATTTTACACCCCTTTGAACTTCTTTACACATCCTTCAAATTGTTTCTATGTGTGACATTAATTGTGTTTACCACTTGAAATTGAACCATGATTATAATCACAAATATTTTTCAATTGCATTTTCATACTACTATTGCCATTTTATGTTTTCAAACCCTTGGTTTCAATTTCCCCATGGCATAATAAATTTGTTGTTGAAAAGAGTCTCTCCGCTGTATAGTTTATTTAACGATTTTGACAAAATTAAACTATATCATAGCCAAAATTACCATGACCTTGAATGGCTAATCAGAATTCAGACGTAAAACAAGGCGAACATGATATTGCACAATACAGTAGTAGTACCTTATGTGTTGTAGGATTGTCTTCTAGTCACCACACAAATGATCTATAGAGAAACTCTACCATGCACGATATATGCACTCATCCAAGCGCAGCGCCTGTGGATCATGGTACTTTGAAATCCGTTGGTATTTTCTGATACTGTTCTTCAAAACTACTTCTAACTCTAACCATAATCCTAGACTCTAAACCTTAATCTTAAAAGCCGTAACCCTACCTAAACAGCATAGATTTACAGAAAAAGTACCTAGGGAATAACGTAGAATACCGTATATACCCTCACCACCAAATTCAAAATGGCAGACATGATTTGATTTGGAATGACATTTCATAGCGTACCCTGCGCATTTGATCGGTTCTTGAATGTCAACTTTTGAAGAATCTTGACTTTGGCGATGATACTTTAACTTCGCCACGATTCTCCGTTTGAGTGGATTCGAGGTTACTCCCTTGGAGTGACTGACTGCTTCACTTTCGACTGTCTGTAAGAAACAGGTTTTGGTCTGTTCGATTCTTGAAAACAATTTTTATTGATTCTTAGAGCAAGGGGTTTTACCTGAAAAACTTTGGGCCTGTTCAACTTTTTATTGTACCTGGCTACTCGTGAAAGTTTCAACAAGACCATAAGATGTCGTTTATCTGAAACGTTTAGTATATTCGAGGAACACACTTCCGAAATTCTGACTGCACACACGAATCACTTGTCATACACATTTATAAAGATGACAAGACAGCATGAATTATAATATAGGTCAAATTGTGTAAAGGCCAAGGTCACTGGTTCAAAGGTAAGCCGATGACGCAAGAATATGCAGGGGAGGGTGGGTAAGAAAAACAATATTGAGTAAATCGAACCTTGTTTAACTCAACAAGGATTTTCACGTTGATTGATTGGACCGAAGTGTTTGGCTTCTATTGATATGTCCGCTCCTAGTTCGGATAATTCGACTATGTTTGAGGATTTAAATTGATGTGTTTTGGTGGATGTGGTGATTAGCAGTGGACAAGACATGGATCTCAAAGATCAAGCCAGCTAGTGGATAACGCTTTGTTTGGCGTTTGAAACGAGCTTCAGTGGGAACATTCTCACTTATTGGAAAATGCAGGAACATCCAACTCACAAGTTTCAAATAGGACAAGACGTGCATTCTGAATCTACTTCAAATTGAACCTTGGTTTTAAATCGGATAACCAAGGAAGGTTCAAAGTAGTGACAAATAATTTTTGAACACATTAAATTAGTTTTAGCCTCTATATATGGCCAAGGCTTCAACGAATTTATGTATGTGACCTAAACTTGTTTCATTTTTGGGTTTAAATCAACCATGTGCCTCGCGACACATGATGTTGGACATCAATATCCGGCGATTTTATTTCTTGTTGTAGCCACTTTGGAATATGTTCTGTAGCTGTAACCTACAGCAACTGATGGGTCCTCCATATGTACGTGTGGCCACACATACATTTGTATTGATAAACATAGTGGGATGTGACACTATCGCTCGAATGCTATGAGGGTTTACAGGTTTACAACATTGATGTCGTTTTCTCATATGAAAATAACTTTGGCAAGTTGTACAGAAGAACGGATGGATCGATTTATTGCGTTCAGATCAAACTACTTAGGTTTTGATCATAACACATTGTACAACTGCCAGTATACAGTGTGTAATTTTTCAGCTGTAAATTATAGTTGATTAAATCATGTAAAGAATAAACTCCATAGAAAAAAAGAGAATAGCATCAGGTTATGCATTCCTCTAAGGAGTAAATACATTCAAGTGTTGGTTTGCAGAGATTTGCTTTGATTGGTTACATGATTTCATCATGAACTGATATCAGTTAGAGAGAACACCATTGGAAAACCAGCAGCTGTTTCGTCAGCCTAGTTTGGGACTCTTCAGAAGCACGCATTCACCCAGTACTTTTCGGTTACAAGACGAGCTCGTAGACCATTAAGAAGCCACTGGGACCCGATTCAATGGCCAGCCTATGAAGCACAACTTCTGTCAACAATTCACGGTATTGCGTGAGTGGCAGTGGATAATGTCACCATCAACGAGTGTTTGTCTTCACAACCGAATTTCTGTACCCCATTGGTCACGACTTCTCAATAGAACCAAGGTAACTACCTACCTGAATAGGGCCAGTTGCTAGTAAGCATCAATAGGGTACAGCGGGTCGAGTCTGAGGAAAAATACTCGTCGGCGATGACATCAGCTAGCGCCAGTCACGCTATATCTTGAATTGCTGGCAGAAATTGTGATTCATAGGCTGACCATTGAATCGGGTCCCAGTGGCTTAATGGTCTACGAGCTCACCTTGTAACCAGAAAGTACTGGGTTTGAACCCCGTTGGTGAATGGATGCGTGTTTCTAAAGAGTCCCAAACTAGGCTGACGAAACAGCTGCTGTCGAGTACTCCCTGCTGGTTTTCTAATGGTTCTCTCTATTTGATGTCAGCTCATGTGATGAAATCCTGTAACCAATTAATACATTTGACTAACCAAGTGGTTTATAACACCGACTGACTGTTAATGGTAACTGAAATCTAACATACAAAGCGTTGTAACTCTGTGAGTCGGCAAAGTAAAATTATTATTATTATTATTATTATTATTATTATTATTAATTTTTTGATCACAGAAGTTGTTCAATGACAAAGCATAGTGTGTATATCCTCCATGTATATGTGTTTATGAGTGTAATAAATTTAAGAGGCCTACTTACCCCAAGTAAAGCAGAGACTTGATCAGCCAGCCCTCGATTGACAAGAACACCAGCAAGTTGTAAACTGACAGAGTTCAGGCCAAACTCTGAAACTTTCTTTACCATACCAATCACTGAGAGTGGAAGGGAGGGAGGAAGAAAAGAGTATAATTGAAAAGAGGTTATCATAGGCAAATAATATCATTCAATGTTATATACTATTCTCCATTAGAAGTGTTGCTTACAACGAATGTAAACAGTTTGTCTGAAGGCTTAATTCAGTAGTGCTTTATTGCAGAAAAAACAAACAAACTACACACTTGAACCACACCACATGATATTCCTAAGTGTGGTGGACTGGATTATGCGTCAGACAGTGGGAAACGAGAAGACAGGGATATCCTGGACCGACGTGAAGAAACTAGAAGATCTGGATTTGGCGGATGACTTATGTTTGATGTCACACAAAATCGAAGACTTACAGGCGAAAACCGACAAACTGCTCGAAGAGGTTGGTAGCAAAGACAGGACTCCAGGTGGACATGGACAAGACGGAGGTTATGAAAATAACCAGCCAACCAACCAACAACAACAACAGCAACATCCAGCACCAATCACCATCAACGGGAGGCATTTGAAAGAGGTTACTTCATTCATTCACTTATCTAGGGGGCATTGTCTCAACTTCAGGAGGAACGGACGACGGTGTCAAATCGAAAATCGGGAAGGCGAGAAACACATTCATCAACCTGAAACAACCAATCTGGAAATCTTCGTCACTCACTCAGCCTGCATCAACAACAAAGTGATTCGGATTTTCAATACAAACGTCAAGTCAGTCAGTTCTTCTATACGGATCAGAAACTTACCGGCGGGTCACAAAGAATATTTCCAACAGCCTGTTGCACACCTTTATCAACAACTAGCTGTCTTCGCCCTATACTGAAGATCAGATGGCCGGAAAGAATCACCAACAAGAAACTATGGGAACAAACAAATCGAGAACAATCTCTGAACAAATATGCAGGAGAAAGTGGAGATGGATTGGACACTCACTGAGCTGAGGAGGCCACTGGGTGACATCGCGCGTCAGGCCAGTGCTCGAGTGGAACCCGAAAGGGAAGCGGCGAGTTGGTCGTCAGTGCAAGGGTGACATGGAGGAGATCGTGTGAAGAGGAGTTGAAACAGTATGGACTAACATGGATGCAGGTGAAAAGTACAGTAGAAGACAGAAGCAAGTGGAGACGTGCAGTTGAAGCCCTATGTTCCACTAGGAACGCAAGGGAACAAAAGTGATAATAATACACACTTGAACCAGTTTGTACTCAACGATAGTAGGAATTAATAATACAGAAAGTCAAATCTACACTTCTTATGATGGCATAGTTAAAAGTTGTAAGAAAACAACAATGTGATCACCTTAAATAAAGTATTTAATGCACAGAAACTATAATAAACGATGATTAAGGGGGCAGCATAAACGGCAGATATCCTGCTGACGTCATTGTTGCATACGGTTTGAAAGGAAAGAAAGGTACCTACCTACCTACCTATCAATTGGAAGAAAGCCTTGATACCTTGTCAAACTACCAAAGAAGGGTAATCTACGCCTCACTCTGCAAGAACTGACGTAGAATAATGCTCTTGTCCACGCAAGTCAAAATGCTAAGACACATCGTGCTGGAAAGAATAAAACACGCACTGAATATGCATAACTCCATTCTCCGAAACAAGCTGGATTCAAGACAGGCAAATCATATGCGGATCAAATTGCAGCTCTACGCATCATCATCAAACAAAGAAGAGAATGACAATCAAACCTGTACCTTAACTGCATTGACTTCGAAAAGACCTTCGACAGCCAGCGTTGATGGCAAAGTAATTTGTAAACTACTTCAACACTATGCAGTGCCCCAAGTCTCTATCAACCTCATTCAGCAGCTGTATGAAAATGCCACATATCAAGTGATCTACAACAGAAAACTCTTTGAAACGTTCGAAGTGAATACAGGAGTAAGACAAGCTGGCTGCGTATTACCACCAACGATGATATTCCTAATTGCGGTGGACAAGATTACGCAGAAGACTGTGGGTAGAAAGAAGATGGGAGTACTCTGGATCGATTAGAAGATTTCGCGCGTGAATGATCTGTGTCTAATGCCACACACACATACACTCAAAGACTTGCATGCGTTAAGCAACAAGCCAGTTGAAGAGGCAGAAATTTAGATGAACATAGACAAGATGATGAAGATAACCAACCAACCAACAACAATAGCAACAACCAGCACCAATCACCATCAACGGGAGAGATTTGACAGAGGTTACTTCCCTCTCCTATCTAGGAAACATTGTTTCAACACCAAAGGCGCAAACGATGAAGAAAGCTAGTCAGAATCAGAAACACAAGATACTCCTTCGTCACTTTGAAATAAATTCGCAAATCTTCTGCACTCCACCTCAGCATAAAGAACGTGATTCGAATTTTCAACACAAATGTTAAGTTAATCAGTTCTTCGTGGTGGGTGAGAAACTTGGCGCTCACATCACGGGAAAGCATTTCCAACAGGCTACTGCAGACTCTTATCAACATTTGACTTCGCTCCATTTTGAAGATTAGATGACCAGCTGGCGAGAAAGAATTGGCAACAAGAAACTCTGGCAACAAAGCAACCAAGAGCCGATTGAGTAACAAATATTTAGCATAAAATGGAGATGGATCGGGCATACGTTGATGAGGCCGTCGAATGACATCACGTTTAATGCAGGCCATTGCTCAAAAATCGGGAAAGCAAGACAAGCTTTCACTACCCTCAAGTCTGTGTGGAGGTCAACAGCACCACTCAGCATCAAAAATAACATCCAATGTGAAGTCAGTGCTACTATACGGATCAGAGACTTGGAGCGTCATAAAGAGCACCTCAAACAAACTACAGACCTTCATTAACAGTTGTCTTCGCTCAATACTCAAGAGCAGATGGCCGACCAGAAAAGATCAGCAACAGAGATCTCTGGCAATGAGCGAACCAACCCAACAGGAACCGATTGTGAAACAAATGGGCAGGAAGAAATGGAGGTGGATTGGCCATACTCTGAGAAAACCATCAAGTGACATCACTAGACAAGCCATTGCTCGAGTGGAACCCGAAAGGGAAGCGGCGAGTTGGTCGTCAGTGCGAAGGTGGGGTGACTTGGAGGAGGTGATGTGAAGAGGAGATGGAAACGTGTGGACAGACTTGGAGTCAGGTGAATACTCTAGCAGAGAACCGAACGCAATGGAGACGCACGGCTGAAGCCCTATGTTCCTCTAAGAATTAAAGGAAACAATAATATTAATAATTGCTCAAGTGGAACCCGACTGGATCGTCCGAGGGTGACATGGAGGAGATCGTGAGAGGAGATGACAGACTGTGTTCAACCGTGGACCCAGCTAAAGAGGACCACAGAAAATAGAACAAAGTGGAGATGTGTTGTTGAAGCCCTATATTCCACTCGGAACCCAAGGGAATTATAACCATAATAATACAAGAGAGAGAGAGAGACAGTAATTATGCGGAGAATTAATGATTTAATGAATCTGCGATTTCAAAAATCCCCCCACATCAGGTAACCTACGCCACCACCACTCTACGTGATTTAGACCAACAGTCAAAGACTTCATGTTAAGTTCAGATTTGACCACTTTAAGCTCTTTTCTTACAACCTAATCTCAAATCAGCTAGGATTCGTCGATGAGGATGGCTATGAAGTCGTATGCGTAGCACGTTTCTTAGCAATCTAAATCGAAGAAGTTCCACGTCCTCCTTTTCCCAACTATTCATCTACACCTAACCTCTTTACGAATCAACATACATAAAGTCGTCTCATCTTACAGAGACTTCATGATGCTCTCGGTGCAAGACTCAGCCTACAAACAAGCTAGATATACAGGGAAAGCTGATAAAATAGCAGTTTAACCACCCATCGTCATCGAAAAGATCATAGAATGCTAGTCAAATCTCTACCTCAACTTTGAAATGTCTTCAACAGTGCGTTGACCACAAAGTAATCTAGTACTTCCTTCAACAATACGGATTGCTCCAAACTTTTATCAATCTCATTCAACAGCCATAGGACAGTGTCACTCCTGAAATGATCCACAACGGAAAACTCTGCGATTTTTGAACTGACGGTAGTCGTTGGACAAACTGCCTGGCATCATCGCTCATATTTGTAATTGTAGTGGACTGGATCATGAGGCAGACACTGTGGAATACAGCAAGACGGGAGTATGTTACACCGATAAGAAGACTCTAGAAGATCAGAATCCTTCGAAGTCAGGACAGGAGTAAGACAAGGCTGCTTGATTGCAGTAGATTGGATAATGCGACAAACAGCGGACAATGAGGAAACAGGCATAAAATGGACCCACGCAAAGAACTTGGAGGATCTGGACTTCGTCGATGATATATGTCTGATTTCCCACAAACTGGAAGATATGCAAGCGAAAAGCAACAAGTTGGCAGAAGAAGCATCCAGAGAAGATAGGACTTCAGGTGAACATAGAGAAAACGGAGGTGATGAAGATTCCTGAGCAGCACCAACAACAGACAACAATCAGCCAGCATAAATAGGTGACATCTGAAAGAAACAACCTCTTTTACCTACCTGAGAAGCATCGTTTCAACTACAAGCGGATGGAACTGACGAGGATATCAAAGCAAGGATCGGAAAAGCAAGACAAGCTTTCACTACCCTCAAGTCTGTGTGGAGGTCAACAGCACCACTCAGCATCAAAAATAATATCCGGATTTTCAACTCCAATGTGATTGAAGTCAGTTCTACTTAACAAACGGATCAGACACTTGGCCAGCGCGTCATAAAGAGCATCTCAAACAAACTACAGACCTTCATCACTAGTTGTCTTCGCTCAATACTCAAGATCAGCTGGCTGGCCAGAAAAGATCAGCAACAGAGATCTCTGGCAATGAGCGAACCAACCCAACAGGAACCGATTGTGAAACAAATGGGCAGGAAGAAATGGAGATTGACTGGTTGGCTTTACTCTGAGGAAACCATCAAGTGACATTACTAGACAAGCCATCACTCAAGTGGAACCCGAAAGGGAAGCGGCGAGTTGGTCGTCAGTGCAAGGGTGACTTGGAGGAGGTCATGTGAAGAGTCTAGCAGAGAACCGAAGGCAATGGAGACGCACAACTGAAGCCCTATGTTCCTCTAGGAATTAAAGGAAATAATAATAATAATATCTGAACTTCGTGGACGATTTATGTCAGACAGACATGGACAAGTTGGCAGAAACAGGGAAGACAAAACTTCAAGTGAACCTCGAAAAAAAGGTGATGATGAAGGTAACTAACCGATTAACAATAACGAGAACCAATTCCCTATCAACAGAAGAATGATAATAATAGTTAATAATAATATTACTAATACAATGAGAAAATCGATACTAATAACGATAACTTACAGTCTGAAATATGATCAACTGGCCAACATCTGAAGAGAGTATCCATATGTGGACCTCTTAGGGTATTGAATAAATCCTCAGATGGAAGACCCGTCAGACTTGTAATCGTTTCCTTTACACTTTCTGGCGCTTTTGTCTTATTGGCATCACTAGCAGAACATACACTGATGTAGGCACGGAAAAAAAAGGAAATTAGAAAGATATTACATTAACAAAAGAGTAAAAGGTTCGAATAAATGGTATATGTGTGCAGCTTAATACTAACTCATCTCATTATCGATACTGGGCATGAAGTCACAATTAACAAAGCGCTTTCAGAGTTATTTATCGTATTTCACCCAACCTTTCGCATCATCATTATCTGTGCTCAGTCATCCAATGAGGTTGACTCTGGCTAGGTGATGTTATCACTCTCACTGATTTACATAACATTCTTGAGGACCTTGCATATCGACACTGTACCATTTGGAATGCATCCTGATCAGTATTAGTGACTTGTTGGCGCTGGTTACGTCCACGGGGCACCATAATCACACAGACACAAACACACATCCGAAAAAGTTGTGCAGGAATAGCAAAGTACACAAAGGCTGCTGTCACGTAAAGCAGAACACTTATTGTGTTTGGAATGCATCTTGAGACTGAATCCCTGCGTTCACCTAGACTGCCACGAGTTAACAGACTACTACTCCTATTACTACCACTACTCGTGCGTCGGTGGCACAGTGGTTAGGACTCTCGCCGACCATGCACATGGTCCGGGGTTCGATCCCCTGCCGACGCACAGCCGATATCTATGGTCGGTCTGCAAAATTTGGACTGCCGATATCCATGCTGAAAATGCCATACTTATACTGAAAATACAGTGTGGCATCAAGCTGTAATCAAGAATATAAAACATACTCTTTACCCTGGGCTAGTTTGTAGCCTACACACACAACGATGCGAGCTCTAACAAGTCAGTTTCAGTCTGACAGTTTCAATGGTAGTAAACAGATTTTACTTTTTTTGTTACTGCTCCCGTGAAATTGTTTTTTTTTAAAATTTTTATAAACAGAGTCATGATAAATTTTAACTAACCGTATAATATGCGCAAAGCGTTTCAATGGTTCTGACATCTCACACTGATTTTCAGGTAGATATTGAATGGTACGTTCAACAAGATCTTCAGCGCCGAGATTCACAAGATTCAATATGAGAATTAATTTCTCTGCAAAATGTCAAGAAGTGAGGGAGGGTAAAAAGAATAATCAAGATTTAACACTTTTTTCTCTCCTCATTATAACTGAGAGTAATGGACAAGCGAATAAACTTAAACTTCAAGTATCAGTACCAGTGGAGTGAGACAGCAGAAATCACCTTGAAACGCTCATTGAGCAAGTTAGTGAAACCCGGTGAATAATATTGTAATCACGAATAAAATATGCTTAATGACGTGGTATGTTATTAATTAATGGGATATCTGGTAAGCCTCAGGTTGTGTTTGGGAAAGACTACGTTAAGGTTTAGGCTAAGGACAGGTTAGAGTTATCATTATTATTATTCCCTTGAGTTCCGAGTGGAACTTAGGGGGCTTCAACAACACATCTCTACTTTCTCCTTTTTTCTGCTATCCTCTTCAGCTAGGCCCACTGTTGCCCATAATCTCCCATCTCTTCCCCACCACACGATCACCTCCATGTCACCGTCACACGATCTATTCATCGTTTACCATTTGGATTTCACTCAAGTGATGGCACGTAGTGAGTGCTATGTCATTCGATAGTTTCCCCTATGTATGCCCGATCCATCGCCATTTTCTCCTTAGTATATATGTTGGTTTGTTCCACTGCAGAGCCTCTTCTAACTAATTCTTTGTGACCACATGATCTTCAGTGTATGGAGCCAGCCAGCGAAGGCAGCTGTTGATGAAATTCTGCAACAGGCTGTTGGAAATCCTTTTCGTGACACACTGGCCAATTTTATGACCCGTATAGAACTACAAGCTTCACATTGGTGTTAAAAATCCGAATCACGTTCTTTATGCTGAGATAGAGTGCAGTGCAGAAGATTTCCAAACTGGTTTCAGGTTGATGAAGGCGTATCTTGGCCTCCCGATTCTAGCTAACTTTGACATCTTCATTCGTCCCGACTGCCTGTAGTTGAAAAGATGCTTCCCAACTGTATAATTGAAGGAGGTAACCTCTGTTAAATCTCTCCCGATGCTGGTGATTGGTACTGGTTGGTTGTCTTCATCATCCTCGTCTTCTCTGTGTTCACCTGCAATCTTGTCTTCGCCGCCTCTTCAGTCATTTTGTTGGTTTTCACCTGCAAGTCCTCGAGTTTGTGTAACACTAGGCATATACCATCTGGGAAATCCAGATCTTCTAGACTCTTGTTACCGGTGGTCTAACGTATTGGTTCGGGTTAAATTAACCTAATCATGGCGACATTAGAATTGGTTCGAGTTAGATTAGGGCTAGTTTAGATATATTTTCACGTTAGGGTTGTGCTAAGGGAAGATTAAGGTCATTGTCAGGGTTCATCTTGCAGAAGTTTCTGCAAGATGAACCCTGACAAGTGACATCACCAGACAAGCCATCACTCGAGTGGAACCCGAAAGGGAAGCGGCGAATTGGTCGTCAGTGCAAGGGTGACTTGGAGGAGGTCATGTGAAGACGAGATGAAAGCATGTGGGCAGACCTGGAGCCAGGTGAAAACTTCAGCAGAGAACCAAACGCAATGGAGACGCACGGCTGAAGCCCTATGTTTCTCTAGGAATTAAAGGAAATAATAATAATAACTGTCAGGGTTAGAAGACCTGGATAATTACATACATGGATTGTGGTTAAATTACCCTGTTAATATAGATTACAAGAGCCTTAAAAACAAAATTACATGGGATTTAGCAAATTACAGGTGTGCAGAAAATGAGCATGGAAACAAAAATTGATACAATAGTTTTAACTTAAAATGGAAGTTCGGAGGTGTGAATATAGATTACAAAAGCCTTAGAAACACAAAAAATTGCACAGGATTAAGATATAATTGTAAATTTTTAAAACGGATTATAAATGTGAACAGGAAAAGCGTGGAAACAAACTTAAAATAACTGTTTTTATAACTGGAAAAAAATGGAGTGAATCGAATGCATATTGCGAACCGGAGCTGTGTATTCAAAAGAAATTAGTTCAACCTCTACAACTACCATGGACTTAGTTAGGTATGTTACTTTAGCTTCCGTTTTCGTTTTTTGATCCCTTTTCGTTCGCTATGTGTGTGGTTCTTACTCCCTCAGTCTTCATTCGATTCACCCCATTTTTTTCCAGTTATAAAAAGTTATTTTAAGTTTGTTTCCATGCTTTTCCTGTTCACATTTATAATTCGTTTTAAAAATTTACAATTATATCTTAATCCTGTGCAATTTTTTGTTTCTATGCCTCTTGTAATCTATATTCACACCTCCTAACTTCCATTTTAAGTTAAAATTACCCTGTTGACACTCCAATCCCACGTCAGAGAAAGCTACCCTGTGTAACAATATCATACCTTTTATTTCAATATTTTCATGAGTAAATAGATTTTATATGCAAAAATCGGCTTTATCATGTGGTGGTGAGTGAGTGAGTTCAAGTTCATTTTTTTCCCGTTGGTACTTACTGGTGCTTAAAATTTAACTTTGCCAATAATTTAAATTTTTTTTCAAAAATATTTCACAGTTCGCTTACTTTGTACGCCCCAAGAATTTTCAATGGAACTGAGTTTATTCTCATATTCACTGGGATTTTCCTTTTGCAATCTAATTGACGATTAGGTAAGATAGAGAAAAAAAACAACAACGGGTAATTAGTTAACGTCAGCAAAAAAAAATAAAGAGAACTCCAACTTAACACCTTGAATTTAAAGCAAATAGACTTCACTGTCAAAAAGAAAGGTTAGAGGATTGATTTAGTGCCGAGAATTCGGCAAATAATTTAAACAGTTGATTTTGAACACAGTTACAAGGAACGGATGGTTTAATGCGATGTGCCACGTTATCAGTCACGCATTGTGTGTGTGTGAAGGCTGATGATACTGTCTAGTCGGTCAGGGTGGAGGGATTCGAACCCGGAGTCTAGTTGAGTTTAAGCCACATACTAACTAACTGAATTACTATTTTTTATTATAGCTTGAAACCACACCGTATTTTTGGTACAAGTATGGAACTCTCGCATTCTGCCTATTAATCTCTATTGTTCCCACTTAGTTTTTCCCGGGCTACTGAAGAAAGACTATATTCTATTACGCAGGATGTTAAAGGTTGTCAGCAGGGTAAGCAATGTGCCACTTAACCAGCTTGTTAATATTCTGGTTGACAGGCACATGGACTCATGTGAAAAATGGGCCAAATCCATTCTGTCTAACTCACACCACGCTCTTCTCTCACAACTCTCCCCTTGCATCTCACCAGGCAAAACCAGAAGCCAATATAGAAAACTATATGCTCGCACCAGCAAGTACAAAAACTCAACCACACCTTACTTAGCTCGTGTTCTGTGCGATAAAGAAAGCATTAGGCGTGACACCTATAATTCATTAAATGGTCACTAGAACAACTGGACCTCGTCTTTCCAACTCATATCATTTATAGGTACAACATTTTCTTTCTTTCTTTTCCTTTTCTCTCTCTCTCTCTTTCTTCTGTTATGTGCTGTTTTGTTTCTCTCTTCCGCTTACGCCAGTAAATATGATAGCACCTACTTTTCTAACACCTTCAAACACTGTTCAACTTTGGCTTTGCTACCGACATGCCAATATGTTGTTGTCATAATGAACTGAGATTTCCTTAATCTATGTAGAATTCTATTTATTGATAATGTACTAACTGGATGCAATACTGTAGCAAAAATGCTGAGAATTCCATTCTGTATCAATAAAGCAAATTATTAATTATTAAAAAAATTTCAGCATGTGATATCGGTAGCCCAAATTTTGCAGGCCGACCATAGATATCAGGTGTGCGTCGGTAGGAGGTCAAACCTCGGACCGTGTGCCACTAGACAGTGAGAAAACAGATGTCCAGTGTTCTCAGGTTTCTAATGATCTCCTAACTGATTTGTTCGGTGACAAAATCCACGGTAGAACTTATTCCGAAATTCCCAGAACAGCAATAACCTAAACACATTAATTCCCATCACATTCTTGGCTATTCGGGAGGATGTCCTGCATTGATAATGAGAAGTTGTGACCAGTAGGCTTTGCCATGTCCATGTGAAGTGAATGTCCATCACCAGTACTGGTTGACGAGTATAGCTATAACACAAATAGGCAGAGTTGGAGTTCACAGGTCAACGAGCTGGCCTCGTAACCTGGAAGTCTCAGGGGTTCAATCAATTCCTAGTGGGGTAGCCGCAGTGCACGACTGAAGAGTTGCAAACTGGGATGAAAGAGATGTCCTGTGCTGCCTGGTTTACAGGAATTGTTTAAATGCTATCGATTTGTAACGAATTCGACATTGTTATTCAACACACTTGTCAAAAATGTCTGAGATATTCTATCGAATCGATTGTAATTATTTTGTTTTTTAGGCATCATGCCTCATTATATAATCCCATATCTATGATTATTCACCTTGACGATACTTCCAGTGAATCGACAATTCAATGATGGAATGCTTGCAGATCGATCGTCCAGGTTCCATTCCAAATCGATGTACGCAGGCATAAACCTCAGCTAGTTCGCTAGTTGATAATGAACCCGGAGGAAGAAGAAAAAGGAGGTAGCAAGTAAACCCAATAAGATTTACAGAAACAAGACCATGAAGTTGTAGAATCTATTTGATCTAAAAGTAGATATTTCTTTATACATCTTCCAGAAGTCCGGCTGGACAGGTATTGAATCATTCCTATTCCACGCATTCTCACCCAATGCGTTTGGAGTAAACACAGGAGTCAGACAAGGGTGCTTATTATCACCAATGATATTCCTAATTGTGGTGGACTGGATTATGCGTCAGACAGTGGGAAACGAGAAGACAGAGATATCCTGGACTGACGTGAAGAACCTAGAAGACCTGGATGACTTCGCGGATGATTTATGTTTGATGTCACACAAAATCCAAGACTTACAAGCGAAAAGCGACAAACTGGTCAACGAAGCAGCAAAGAGAGCACTCCAGGTGAACATAGACAAGACGGAGGTTATGAAGATAACGAACTAACAACAACAACAGCAGCAACATCCAGTGCCAATCACCATCAACGGGAGGGATTTGAAAGAGGTTACTTCATTCATCTCACTTATCTAGGGAGCATTGTCTCAACTACAGGCAGGTGGAACGCACGAGGATGTCAAATCGAGAATCGGGAAGGCGAGAAACATATTCATCAACCTGAAACCAATCTGGAAATCTTCCGCTGTCACTCAGCCTGCATCAACAACAAAGTGATTCGGATTTTCAATACAAACGTCAGGTCAGTCAGTTCTTCTATACGGATGAGAAACTTGGCAGCGGATCACAAAGAATATTTCCAACAGCTGTCCCCGCTCTGCACTAAAGATGAGATGGCCGGAAGGAACCACCAACAAGAAACTATGGGATAAAACAAAACAAGAATAGATCGCCCAACAAATATGCAGAAGAAAGTGGAGATGGATCGGACATTCGTTGAGGAGGCCGCTGGGTGACATCGCGCGTCAGGCCATAGCTCGAGAGGAACCCGAAAGGGAAGCGGCGAGTGTGACGTCAGTGCAAGGGTGACATGGAGGAGATCGTGTGAAGAGGAGTTGAAACAGTATGGAGTAAGATGGATGCAGGTGAAAAGTACAGTAGAAGACAGAAGCAAGTGGAGACGTGCAGTTGAAGCCCTATGTTCCACTAAGAACCAATCAATATCTCTCCACTCTGTTATGTTAAATTTTAAGTATCACGTAGTGCTATATATAGCTGAGCTATTTTCTAGATTTCCTATCCTATTCAGGTCAACTAATCTAGATGATTTTATGAAATCTAGAAGTATTCAATACCTGTTCCAGACATCTGGAAAATTCTGCTGCTCCTACGACGAATGAGAGGAGGAGTAAAGAGAACTGCAAAACTTCATGCTTCAAAGTTGTGTACTTTCAATTCATGATCTGATTACGAAGAACAAATTTGTGTTCAAAACTTCGTCAATCCAGTAAACTATAGTACTGAATGAACTTTGCACAGATATGCAGCAGTTCTAGCTACCACACTCCTTCCATGTAGCACACAAAAGAACAGAAGAGAGTAAAGAGAGACTCATCAAAGGAGATGTAGATAATAAACAGAGGTGTGAGGGAAAAAGAATGGTAATATGGAAAATCAATAGATTTTTACTGGATATGACAAATCCTAAAGAGTGAATGCATCTGCGTCAACCATGGAGAACGAGGATTTTGAACCACTTCACCAATTGTCTATCTCCAGGCGTCATTGGTTCTTACCATCTCGGGGACCCCAACCAGTCACGAAGTCTATGACTCCCTAGGTGGCTAGCTTACACCAACTGTTATGGATTTCACTGACTGATGAAGCCATATCTTGGTGTTTGACCACCACTAGCCGTTTTTCAACCTGATCCTATGCCAACTGGCATTGCCCGTCGAGGAAGGCGATGATGTCTAGGGGGATGCGTAACAATTATATCCAATAAAATAAATATAGAATAAGTGAAACCGCACAAGTGAGAGTGATATAAAACGCAGACATATATAAATGGACAATTTCAGAGAAGGTTTATATTCCCTCGATAGAAATTTTGCTATTAAATCTATCAAAGACTCGCGCATAAACAAACATCAATAATTGAAAGGAGAAGGAAAAAAAACACGTGTTATCATCGTCTCACCTTACTAATGACTGAGCAACACTCAATATTGATTCTTTGGGTGATACACTCTAAAAAGCGAAACAGCAGTAAAATCGAGTATTATAAAAAATGGCAAAACAAAGCGAAAAATTAAATCAAAACTGAATAGTTTTTTTTTAAGAAAATAATTAAGCATTTATGATGTTCTAGCTCCGGTTTAGTTAGTGTTTTACACGTCTAGTTAGTTAGGATTAATAATATCACCATAATTTCATTATGAATATAATAAGAAGTGTGGCGTGTATGCTACTGACAAGATTTATCAGTAGTGTGTTGACGCCAATTGATAGGAAGCAGCCAACACATTGGAAACAACCTTTTAAAGTTCAATGTCTCCAGAGGTTTTGATGTGGTTGAGTTCTCTGAGCTGGATAGTTAATTCGCGGAGCTTTCATCACCCTACTGGGTGACATCTTCAGCGCTTACTTCAATTTCAAGTGAGCTTTTAGATTTCTCCACGAGTTTATCAATCATCTCTCCCGGTGACCTTGGATGTGATTGGTAGCTTTTGTGTGTTTTCACACCTTCTAGGTTACTTGTATTTTCACTCATTGTTTCTTGTCTCCAGAGATGGAAGTGTTCCCATTCCTCAGATCTGGATTTAGTTTACGTCGTAGTCATGAAATAAATTTTGCTGGACAAATTTCCGCCTCAAGGTTTAACCTTCAGTAAAAGTCGACAACCAATCAGGTGAGCTTATTATCCGTTGACGTAGCCGGCCTTTAATTCAGCTAAAAATGTATAAATATGGTGTGTGTTTTGCCTTAATAAAAAATTCCGTTACTAAGTCGTTTGTCTTCTCTCGTTACAGAAGTACCTGATAATTCAGATTCAAAGATTAGATATGATTATAAACTGATGAACACCATCGTATTAGTCTGGTAGTGAATACATCAAATTTCTTAGGACTTCAATCGATGGTAGAATGCTTCTTGTCAACCATGTGAGAGGTTATACAGTCCAATTCCATGCTGATGCACACTTAGACCTTACCCATCACTAGCTGGTAGTAGCAGGTATAGAAAAAAGGATGAGGCGGGGGGTGCTGTTTCCTGAGGCTAGCAACCTAACCGCTTTTATGGAGACTTTAAAACCTTAAAAAGCCCTATTTCTCATTTGGAACGCAAAAAGAACAATAAAATAGTCAACGTTAGTGTCAATTGATCGGTAGAGAGAGAGAGAGAGGAGGGAGCTATTAGTGGAATTCGGGATGCACATCTCCTCCAATGTGAGACTGATGATTAGCTCGTGTTGTAGTATTGGCATCTCAGTAATTGACACTATTTTCGCTACGACTCCATTCATTATTATTTTGATTTCCTGCAAAGTGATATTCCAATTGGCTCCTGAGCTTTGAGAGACATTTCTTGTGTGCATTATTGCACACACTGTAACAGCGGAAGGCAAGACACGGTATCGATATATACATATGTATACGCATAGTTTATATTCTTTAACCAAACATTGAGCGTGTGATTTTGGTTTACATTTAAACGACATGAAATAGAATGCTCAAATAGATATATGTAGTATTCTGTTGCTAACGCAGTATTGAACTGTGGGAATGCATGAGAATAATATTCCGTTGGAACACGTGGTCTGTGTCACGCACACCACCATACTCGTCCCCTCTTCATATGCTTTTGATTGAAGTTGGTTCAGTCTTCTTGGTGCTGGCATCTTTGTTTGCTTGTCTTGCTGTATCCATTTCCGGAGCTCGCTGACGTTCACCCACTTCTCTTTGTTTGCACTTCTAATGGTATATACGTGACCCCGTCTCACGGTGACTGTGTATGGTTCTTCCCACTTCGAAAGCAGTTTGCGGGACCCTGGCGCGTATTCGCCGGTGTTTCGCCTCACACTATCATATGCTGCCGTCGCCCTACCTCTCAGCAGCTTTTCGAGTAACAGCCTCTTCGCTGACGGATCTTGAACGCCATTCAACTCCGCAACAGCCTCGAAGCCCTGCAAGAAGATCCATATGTCTCCTTCTTCAAAACTGCAGGGCACAGGCTTCCCATTTGTCGGCAGACAGCGACACAAAATGTAACAGCAAAAGCCAAGACAGGGAAGCTAAGATATATTTTCAGTTGATCAAACAGCTACTTATATCTATACAGTTTATATTTTTTAACCAATCACTGAGCGTGTGATTTTGGTTTCAATTAAACGATATGAAACAGAATGTTCAAATAGATATATACAGCAGTATTCTGTTGCTAACGCAGTATTGAACTGTGGGAATGCGTGAGAATAATATCACGTTGGAAGACACTGTCTGTATCCCCCCCCCACACACACCAGCACAACACAACCGTCACACTAGGAGATGAAATGACGACAGTGACAAGCAATTCAACCTCCAGGGAAGTTAAAAACGACAGGAAATTTGAAATAAAATTCCCAATAAAAAATTAAGACAACTTTTTATTAAAAAAGAGAGATGATTTTGTTGTTAACTCAGTTGCATGTTAAAATACTGCGGTTCACAGTGTTAACTATCTGTCTACTAATCAAACACACAAACACACATATGAGTCTGTTTTTGGGGGGGAAGGTATTTTTTTTCCTTCACGTTCCCCAGTGGAACATAGGGCTTCAAGCTGATGGCTTGAAGTTTCTGTAGCAGTGTTTATTTTACAGGATGAGGTTGCTAGCTTCATGCCCAACCTTTCCTCTTTACCAGCATTATTTCTGGCTCAACGAGGTAAAGGAGTGCGTCGGCCGGGGATCGAATCCCGGACCATGGGCATGGTCGGCGGCCGTCCTAACCGTTATACCACCGACGCACAATAATTGAAAACCAGGAGGTACTGGACTGCCGGCCGTTTCATCCTAGTTCGGGACTTATCATCAGCAGTAGGCGCCCACCGGGTTTCGAACCTAAGACCTTCCGGTTAAAAGGCAAACACGTAGACCATTCGACCACTGGGACCCGAACAGCTCAGTGGTAACTTCTCTGACTGTAGCACTGGGTGACGCGGGATCGAATCTCAGAAGGGACATGAGTTGCTTCGTGGTTGCATATACGCCATGCTGATGGGTGCCAACTAGCGCAAAAGCTAGATGGAAGGCTTTCTGCTGATTGCCTCCAACCATTTATTACTAACGAAGGTAAGTATGCAAATCAAAAAAGCAAAGTTTATCAATTATCAACATACCATTTGACCAGCAGTGGTTGATGACTTTTCATTTGATTTACTTCCAATTCCTTGAGAACAGAGAGAATAATAAGAAAAATTAGAATAGAATAGAACAACAACAAAATAGACATATTGAAGGTCAAAATAACAATGAAGATCACTAAACCTGGCTAGTATCAAAACAAAGTTTACCAAGGAAGGTAGGTTTAGTGTGTGATGACGAATTGTTGCTTTGACCATATAAAGGTGGTTTAAACTTCTAAGAAGTTCTAAGCTAGGGCTTCCGCAAACTTTAGAATACACCCCAAACACGTTTCATAGATAGATAGGTTTAAAAGATGTGTTAACGTCAATCTTATGTCCTGTCTTTATAATATGTTTCGCAATAGAGGAGCTAGGACTCCTGTTCTCACTACTAATGGGTTCTGAAGATTCTATTTGCTTCTGGAGCCATTTAGGAATATGCTCTGAAACCAGCCCTTACTTGCAGAGATCGATGAGTCCTCCCTATGTATGTGTGTCCATACGTACATTCAAATTGGTAAATACAGTGGGATGTGACATCATTTTTCACATGTTCAAAGGGCTTAGATGGATGGATGTATTGGCTTCACATTCTCAATTATTATGATATTAGCTGCATAAAAAGTCTTTTTAACAGCAGCGTTCAATCTTTGCCTAGCTATCAACCTGCTCTGATGCCCCATATAGGTTGCTTGATGTGGACGTCTTTCTCAGTGGCGAGTTGGAGAAAGGATCTTGGTGCTCTGACTACTTTATATCTCCTGATGAACTTGTTTGGATAATTGTTATCAACCATGAAAAAATCTATGAAACACTGAGATTGAATAAAATGATAAAGGCAGTAAATGTGAATAGAGTATAATACAAAACAGCTGTGTAAAGAATACTTGAAGATCTTCAACGCATGGGAGAGATAGGCGAAATATAACTTCGAATTTTCGAATAACTGAGGTTAAGTCAGCGTTCTTATCTCTATAAGCTTCAGAGAAGTGATGCACACGTCACCGCCAAAGGCATTACACCCACAAGCAACTAGTGAAGACTTTCTATTCACATCTGACTTTAATAGCACGATACTGAACATCAGGTGTCCCGGCGTAAAGGGCAAAGGCTAAGATACTGATAAGAAACTTTGATAAAAAAAACCAGTCAGCAACCACCTGTGGATGGATTGGACATGCACGGAGAAAGCCACACGTCAGCCTTGTCCTCAAAGGAGACGGTCACATGAAGTAGAAAGGAAAATAAAGCCTATGAGGATTTGTGGAGCCTAATAAAGAAAACCAATAATGGATATGTGCCGATGTAGCACTCACTATATTTCATATTAATGGTAATAAAATATAGCTCCTGAAGGTGTCAGTATAAAAATATCTTGTCAATATGACTTAAATATATATAGGGCGCTTACCTGCTATTCGTCCACTGAACAACAGGGCGTTTAGATCTGCAAAGCTAAAAGTTGAAAAGAGAAAAGTTTTTCAACAAGGTTAATAAAATATGGAGAACTGAACGCAATGGAGACGTGCGGCTGAAGCTCTATGTTCCTCTAGGAACTAAAGGAGACAATAATAATAATAATAATAATGACAAAATAAGACACCACAGCCCAATGAAAAATGATTCAGGAACTGCATTTCATATAGATATAAAATTATAACTGATTGAAACGTTTTTTCAAGCATCAGTTTGCTGAGGGGGGATTAGATCGAATTCAATGTTGACCACGAATTGACTTCACAGTTAGACAACTGCTGAAAGCTATAAAATACTGGATAGCTGTTTCGTCCCTGTTTGGGACTCTTTAGCAGTATACACCTATGGCCACGCTAGGAATTGAAACCACGAAGTCATGATCGACGAGATCCATCAAGTTAGGTGTGGAGACAGACACTAACCAATAACAATGGCTGGTAGTGGCGGTAACCTCATGAATCGGCAGAAGTTAGAATTGATGAGCCATTGGATTCCATTCCAGTGGATGAAAAGGTATACAAAAGCTCATCTGATAACCTGAACGTCACAGGTCCAATCCCTAGGGGTATTGCCTAGGACTCCTTAATAACGGCGAAATAGCTCTTTGGTTCCTGATTGTTTCTCTAATTGAAATCAATTCATGAGCAAAATTGAGATCATAACTAAAACCTGTCTACAATACTTTAAAGTACATATCAAGCAATTATCAAGAGGAAGAATGATTCGTGTTTTTGATTCCGTTACAAACACAGTACACTTCTTGGTTGGGGTCCTCAGGACGGTAAAAACCAGTGGCTGGAAACAATTGGTGACATGGCTCAAAATCATTCTCAATGGCTAGCGCAGATGCATCCACTCCTTGTGACTCACGATTTCCAATGAAACTGTTTTGTTCTTCGTTATTACTATTCCTTTGTCTCACACCTCTGTTTACTGTCTATATTATGCATTTCTCCTACTTTCTTCTCTTGCTTTGTGTGCTACAAGGAGGGAGTGTGGCGACTTGAACTTCCGCACATATGTGCAAAGTTCTATGCCGACCGACCGGCAAACACAGTGTCTAGTGGATTCTAACATTCATAGGTGTGTGTGTGTGTGAAGTACAATGTGTGAACTACAATAGTGTCGCACGACTACAAAGGAGCATATTATTTATACGTAGAAAAAAACTTGGTACAATATGGCACCAAGAAAGATGCGCCACACAATAATAATTAAACAACATAGATTAAAAGTAAAAATATATAGGTAGAAAACGGATAAAGAACTTCATCTGGAAGGAAAACAGTCGTGTTTAACAAGTTTAAACAGTATTCGTTAACTATCATCAGGAAGGGAAGAAAGAAGGAAATTGCAACACGTTCGCCATTGATTACGATTCTTGGCCATATCCGATAACGTTTTGAGCCATCGATTCGAGCTATCTCGCTGACCCCAACCAGGGAGTCGTGACGCACCAACCGATGCTAATCTAGCACAAAAATCCTTAATCCCACGACGCCACGTCATGGACTGACCACCCCTCCGCCTTTTCCATCCCGTCCCAGGGCTAGCGAACAGAGACCTGTACGGAAGCCTCTGGGATGACATTCGCAGCACATGTCCAAGCCACCGGAGCTGGTGTTTCCAGATGGCGACACTCAATGAATGGTGATCTCCACTGTGTTCAAACACACGCCGCCGAACCTCGGAATTACTCACGCGATGATGCCATCGAACGCAAGCGATCCTGCGGAGACAGCGATGATCGAACACGCAGAGTCGCCGCACGTCCTCAGCTCGGAGAGGCCAGGTTTCACAGTCGCAGAGCAAGACAGCCCACACCGAAGATTTGTATACCCAACCTTTTACAGCCAGGTTAACGTCGCGACGGCGCCAGAGGTGGCTCAATTTGATGTATGCCACCCTAGCCTTCATTATACGTTTGGAAATCTCATAGATTGTTTATTGAAGCCTTGTGAAGACAACAGTCCCATTTCGGAAGAACAAAAAGCAGAACTGAGCAGCACTTATTGTGTGTGTGTGTGTGTGCGTAGGGGGGAGGGGTAAGGTACTACTCAATGGTCTAAACTGAAGTAGATGGAGCGGGACTCGAACCCTGGACCACACACTGACAGAAAGTTTAGTGCTTAAGTCAGTGCACCACATGTCTACAAAAAGCAGAACAGGTTAATGGAAAATGATTTATTATGCCCACACATACACACACACCAGGGTAATGGCACAAATTCGCTCTTTTTACACTACTACTCTACATGACAGCATAAACTGGCTAACTCTTTCATACTGATCGGAAATAATTGAGGTTCAAAAAATTACAACTTAAGATAACCCTCAGTTATGATCTTGGATGACTAACCATACGTTAAAGTACGTCCGAATGGACTATTTCTGCCTAACACACACACGCATTCCTGTTGTTTATCCATTTGATATATCTGATAAAAAGGCGAATCTGATAATGTAAAGTCATTATTTCTCATGCGTTAAACTCTATGTGTTCCCGAAGTTTGTTGTTTCTCTTCTCAGTTGAGTTATGTAAAAGAAAGAAAACTGAATAGGGAAATGTATAATATCAATATACTTACGGAAGTCGATTTGTCGAATAATCAACAGTCAGTCGTATTAGCGTTTCCTGAAGTGTGTGTATACAAAAAATATGAAAAAGACAAAATTAGTTTTCAAGATTTGATTTGTTTACTTTTTGTTTTTTCGAGTTTGACCACGAATTAACTTCGGTTAGAGAACCATTGAAAAAAACCCAACAGGCATTGCTGGACGACAGCTGTCTCGTCAGCCTAGTTTGCGACTCATCGACAGTACGCGCATCCACCCACCACTGCCACGGTTCGAACTCAGGACCTTCTAGTTACAAGGCAAGCTCGTATCTCACTAAGCCACTGGGACTCGATTCAACGGGCACCCAATGAATTTTTTTTCCTTAACGTTCCCAGTGTAACATACCGCTTGAAGCTACAGGCTTGAAGTTTCTGTAGCAGTGGTGATTACTTTAACAGGATAGGGTTGCTAGCCTCATGGCCAACCTTCCTTCTTTACCAGCCTTACTACTGGCTTAGCGAGGTAGAGGAGTGCGTTAATGGCCGGGGATGGAACTCCGGACCACCTGCGTGGTCGGCGAGCACTCTATCGCTGTGCCACCGACGCACACCTATGAATTCTAACTTCTACCAATTCGTGATTTAGCGGAACTGGGCATCAACCAATGTCATCAGTGGGAAATTCATCCTCACTGCCGACTGTATGGGGCTTCACTGGTGACGACTTCTCACTAGAACTCCAGGAGACTCTGCGGGTCCCAGTGGTTGAATGGGATACAAGCTTACCTTGTAGCCTGAAAGTCGTATTCGAACCCCCTGTGGTGGGCGGGTTCTGCCGATGATTACCAAACTAGGATGAAACAGTTGTCCAGTACTCCAGTGCTGGTTTTCAATGGTTCTCTAACTGATATCAATCCGTGGTCAAACTCGAAAAACAAATAGTTATTTGAATATATACATATATAAATAGAGAGAGAGAAAGAGAAAATATTTTTTGTTCACCAGTGAGTGTTTTAAAATTCATAAAAGACGTTTTTAGACAATTAAAATACCTAAATTTCATTATTATATTATTGTTTTTATACCGTTTTTATTAAAAGTAATTTACATTCAGGAGGAATATCATCTACGAATTATCGTAAATGTTTTGGACGAATGAGAGAAGCATAATTCTCAATGTTGACTCTCATATTCAACTGGATAAGTATATACAGTAATCCAGCTCATTATCTTGGTTTACTCAAACCTCAATATCATTTAAAAAATAGAGACAGTGGACCAAAACGATACTTTAGAAAGAGATGATCCGAATATATTTCGTCTTCTTAATAAATACCAGTGTAACGACAGAAGACAACAGCCACGCAACAGATCATTTATTGAGAAAATCAAGAGGTATTTATAGATTTCTATGAACATTATTATTAGCTTTATTGTTAGCAGAGAAGCGACGTCTTCTGATTGGTTGTTTTCTTGCTGGAGGTTATTCTGTCATCTCTTTCTCGCCGTTTCCTAGAAAGTCAGGCCATATATCTGCGAATCTGATTTACACACGTTAAGTCTGCTGTGATTGGTCGGTGAGTTCTTCAAGGTTAAGCCTTGAAACTGCTTTTCTTCTCATTATTCCGATTCGGGAGGTAAACATTGACGTAGATTGTTGTCTACAATTTTGGCTAGCAGACAGCTTTCACCAGACTAGTAATATGCTACATTACGAGCCAACGATATTATTAATAATTATGTTTAATCAGTCATTGCTTTTATATGTTTCAGAGACTTGGTGACAGCATAACCAAAAGCATTTCTTTCAACAAGTTGTTAAAGACTTTCCTCAACAGTTGCCACACTCTCTCGATATTGAAGATCAGATGGTCAACCAGAATGAAAAAATCAGCAACAAGGAACTCCAGATAAACATACAGAATGACGGAGGTGATGAAGATAACCAGCCAACAGCAATAATCACTATCAACGGAGGAAATTTGACAGAGGTTACTGCCTTCACTTATCTAGGGAAACATTTTTTCAACTACAGGCAGTCGGGACGAATGAAGATGTCAAATCTAGCCAGAATCAGAAAGCCAAGATATGCCTTCATCAACCTGAAACCAGTTTGGAAATCTTCTGCACTGCATTCCACCTCAGCATAAAGAACAAGATTCGGATTTTCAACACCGATGTCGACTCAGTCACTTTTCCTGTATTGGTCAGAAACTTGGCCAGCGTGTCACGAAAAGGATTTACAACAGCCTGTTGCAGACTTTCATCAACAGCTGCCTTCGCTGGCTGGCTCCATACACTGAAGATAATGTGGTCAGAAAGAATTAGTAACAAGAGGTTCTGCAGTGGAACAAACCAACTAAAAGAGGCGATTGCTCAACTAATACGTAGGAGAAAATGGAGATGGATTAGGAGGAGGAGGTCATCAAATAACACTGCGCTGTTCAATGCAAGTCATCGCTCGACTGGAATCCCAATGGGAAGCAATGAGTGGGCCATCTGACGGTGTTATGGAGATGATCATGTGATGGCAAGGAGATGAGAGACTATGGGCAATCGTGTTGACCAAGCTGAAGAGGACAGCAGAAAATAGGAGAGAGTGGAGATGTGTTGTTGAGTCTCTATGTTCCATTCGGAGCCCAAGGGAATTATATATATATATATACACATATATGTGGGTAGGAATACAAATTTGATTTGATAACAGAGACTGAATGCAACAATGGAAAGGAGACTGTTCCGCTTTAACTCTTAACACTAGCCCTAGACCACATACCATAGGAGACAATAAAAGTTAAAATATCTTGTTAGAACACATACGTCTTATATCCTTTCATCAGCCATCAATCGTGAAAATGTTCATTCATGCGGTGGTAAGCTACAACTGTTTTTTGGTTGAGTCCTCTAAATAGTGACAACATAGTATAAATCGCTCAAAATATACAACAGGAGTCTAGAGATCAAATCAGTCGTACAGTTGGAGACGAGTAAAGTATTTATTAAACACTGTAATAAGGTTTGTTTCCCCATGGGATGATCAGCAGGACAGATAAGCTATCTCCTCTCCGGTCGTCTGTGAAGGGCGCAGGTTAAAAAAGGTTGACTCCGAAAATTGTACATCTTGAAGCACTTCACGAGTAGTCCACAGTATGTATATAGTGTAAGTTTTGAATACAACTGACACAATTGCAGAAATCAATTCAAACAGGCTATGTGTAACTCTATGCATATGATCTCCATTATCAGTTATCTACCAGAGGGGCTCTCTGCAACACTAACGCTTTTTCTGTTTTCAGGTATTCCAAGAAATTGTATAGCAGTCGGGAAGATACAACCCCCCACACACTCATGCACACACAAAGCTCTTCTATTCATTATCATCCACCTTGATCTATCCTTCTTAACTCAGTCAAATCGTAACACATACCACCAACTGAAAGCGGAGTATGGCACAAATGAGAATCATCATAGATCAGTCCACCGGCCAAGTTTGAGTTGTATAGTTCAAAACAGTGGAGTATTCATATATTACGGTTATGAAAATATCAAATATATATATACATACCTCTGACACACCAGAACTTCTCATTGCAGACAACAACCAGTCGGTCTTATCGAAAACAATATTCTATAGAAGAAAAATAAACAATAAAAAAACAACAGCTTATGAGTAATAACGTTTATAAGGAAGGAGTCAATGTAGGTGAACATCATATCTCTCACAGTAAAATAAACAGTAAATAATGGTTCTTGAAAATTTGAGTCAAAAGTATCCTAATCAATAGTGGTTGATCTTGCACATGATATGTGTTGCAGCCACCAGAAAGCGGAAACCAAGATGCGCATTTCTCTCTCTCTCTACTCAAAACTCATCAGATGGATAATACACCAGTGAGATTCGAACCTAGCGCACATAAGCGTCAAACACCAAAGCGTTGTCTGTCAGTCAATCGGGTCACCCCATAAAGCCATCTCTTCTACGTGCGAGTAGAGACAAAAAAAGGATTATGTGTATAAACAATTTAAGCGAGAGAGACAGACGTTGATCAACAAACATGATCTAGGAGTCTGTCTGTCTGTCTGGATTCAACATAGAACTTGGCACCGAAGTGCAGCAGTTCGAGTTGCCACCTTCCAAATACCACACAAAGGTAGACAAGAAAATGAGTGATGAAGAGAATCAATAGAGTTTTGACAAGTATAAGAGTGAAACAAAATGAGTAATGGTAGAAAGGAATATGAAAGATTACAGAGACTGAATACATCTGCGTAAGCCATTGACAACGATTTTGAGCCATGTCACCTATTGTCTCCAGCCATTGATTCTTAGAGTCCCGAGGGCGGGCCCCAACCCGGAAGTCTGCATCTCCCTACCTGACTCAGTTTAACTGTCAAGGATTTCATGGATTGATGAGGCCATGTTTTTGTTTGGCCACCACTTACTCTTTTCCAACCAACCTGCACCTATATCAGCTAGTAATGCCCGTCCGTCGGGGGAGGCGATGGTTAGGCATGCACAACACATGACCTAGCCATCTCAATCTATGTAACTTTATAGCCTCGTCGATTGATTTTCCGTCTTTGCCCAACACTCTACGCCGAACGTCAACATTACTTACCTTATTATACCACCTAACGTGAGAAAGAGATCGTAGACATGTATGATCAAAGACAGTCAACCTTTTCATGTCTTCAACTCGTATTGGTCATGTTTCAGAGCCATAGAGAAGGACGGAGCGAACTGCTGAGCAGTACACACGTCCGTTGGTTGATAGCCGGATGTCACGCCTACGCCAGAGATGGTGTAAGTCAGCGAAAACTGATCTAGGAGTACCACTGACTCAGTTGTTCAAATAATAAAAATCCATTCCGAAAACAGCAATCATAACCTTTTCACACTGGGATTGTAGATTTCAAATAACAAATGAGCTGATAACACCAATCAGAATAAAAGCTAAAATGCTCCTTTTTAAGCGCTTTTTCAACAATTCAGATTCATAGACCATAGAATAGGAAGCATGAACAACAGCGGTTTGTGCAGAATAATAAAATGGTACCACCATTCATCTCGTCGGCTTTTCATCAACTGCTTACAGTCCAAAGACATTATTAAGTCTATCGAACAACAAACTCTTAGGTGCAATCAAAAGTCGATAGATATTATACTCGTGTTAACTCCAACTGTGTATACAACAAATCTATGTGTATCTGAGGGAGCAGTTATCTTGGGAGAACAGAAAGAAGGACACACCTTCGATTCCCTGAACATGTAACGAAAAGTTAATATATGTGTAAAACTTGGGCACTGTGGTAGTAAGTAATCCCATATTAGTTGGTTTATCAGATATATCACAAAGTGAAACAGTATTATTGTTTCACTGGATGACGTTTCGACCAAATTTTATTGTTTATAATCATATCAATTGTAATCATACGACTTTGAAACTGTGAGTTTTATAGTTTTCTTTGTTCTCTCCTATTTGTCGTAGGCGTAGTAGAATTTTCCAGAGGTCCAGCTGGAGAGGTGTTGAATCATTCCTATTACATGTATTCGCAGTTGGTTCGATAAACAAAGCTTCTGTTATCAATCTCTCCCTATACCCTGTGACATTAGATTTTAAAACTGTCCTAATGTATGGTCGTGTGTAACTTCATGTAGTGCTATAGGTGAACTATTCCCTAGATTTCTTATCTTATTCGGGTCAACCAATCTAGATTCTGCCGGACTTTTATGTTCAGCTAGTCTGACTGCCCCTGTTCTACTAGTTTGACTTATGTATTTGACCTGACAATCATTGGAGGCAGGGTATGAGATAAACTAAATTGTTTTGTTCTAACGGCTCTACAGGATCCTTTAACGGACAAAGATTGTTTCTAATTGAGTTTGTGGGTTTGAATGCCACCCTAATTCCTGCTTTATTAAGAATTCTGCGTAAGGCTTCCGAGGTTCCTTCCTTGTATGGAATTACTACTGACGATTTAGATTCCTTATTGTTGGTGTCGTCATTATTATTGTTATTATTATTATTATAATTGTTATTATCACTATCGCTGCTATCATTATTTATTTTACTTCTACATTTCCTTACATATTTCCTGACTAATTTATCTGGGTAATTATTAAGTTTCAAAGCTTCTTTTATGTGTATCAGTTCCTGTTTTAAATTTTCTTTGGTACTACTTAGTTTTTGTGCTCTGTCCTTTAAACATTTCACCAATCCTATTTTTACTGACATAGGATGGGATGATCGGAAGTCCAAATATCTGTTTGAGTGTGTGGGTTTCCTGTAAACACTAGTGTTTAACTTCCCATCTTCTTTCCTCTTTACGTTGCAATCTAACATTGGGAGCTCCCCTTCCTGATTTTCCAATTCATAAGTGAATTGAATTGCTTCAACCTTCGAGTAACGAAAAGTATTTACATCTCAAACAATAGGTCACTTGGTTTGAGTCCCGCTTCACTTCATTCATGACCTAAGACAATTTGGTAGTATCATCTATACTCATATGATAAAAGTGCCTCCTCACAGCCTGATATGATACATATTGAGAGACCCGTTTCAGGTAACCTAACACATGCATGAACAGATGGAGAAGAACAACAAGAAGAAGCACTCTCCTACAGCAGAAAGGATTACAAAAACACATATATATATACATGTAAAAATAAAAGTTGAAAATTGTGATATATTCATCACATCATATATATATAACTCCTACTTCTCTATGCCTAGTCACCTACCTGACGAGCACAAACATCAGCGACAAGTTGAATCACTGTATTTTTTGGTACATTATTAAAATGTCGATGTTTCGATATTAACAAAGCTTCAAATATTTGTGCAAAAAGTGAATGGAATTCACGTTTAGTCATAGCATGATTCAATATACCGAATACTTCAAACATAACAGTCGACTTTTTCATTTCTTCTATCTCTGACATATCTGATAACGACAGGATATTTAACAACTGAAAGGCAATTTGGAAAACAAAAAAGAAAAAAATTAACATAATGATGATGATGATGATGAATATAGTTAACATTAGGCATAGTTGTAAAAAGAAATCATGTCTAAGCCAGAGTTGGCTTATGACAAACAAGCCTTGCAGAGGTCTTGTCAGCAAAGTAGGTTGGGGGTGATATAACTCCCCAAATAAGTGAGGCGGACAACACGCCCTACCAATTCATTCTCTATCTTTGCGGCAGGAGTCGATGTATTATCCACTCTTGCAGCACCATCTCACATTTTATGGGAGAAAGATTGCTGTGCTTCTCAAGGTGTTCAGAAGACGCTGCATTTTATTTAGCGTCTTCACCTAGCAGGAAAGACTATATCATCTGCATATTCTAAGTCAACAAGGCTATTCTCTGGTAACAAGTCAATCCCTACGCCTCTGAAGTCAGTTGGGGTCAATTCCATCAGCAAATCAATGATGAAATCAAACAGGAAAGGGGACAGTGGGCATCCTTGACAGACATCAATGGTTGTCATCACTTCAGATGGCAACTTTCCGTAAGCTCTTACACGGCTGCATAAGTCCGAGTAGCGTGCCTCCATTTGTGTGATGCAGTGAAGAGTTGTAAAGATACTCAGTACCTCGAACACAATGAAAAGCCGACGTTTGACTACAGTTCAAAATACAATCCACCAGACATCCTGTAGCTGAAGAGAAGCGTCGAAATATTGCGAATCTTGTTCTCCTTGCCTCAAAAATGGTGATTGACTCTTAAACATTTACATAAAATTGGATATATGTTACTGAAAGCTGAATAAGTTACTTCTCTCTTGTTCGTTGTTTCCGTACCAAGAGGAACATAGAGCTTCACAGGCTGAGACGTGTCATTAGCGGTGCTGTTGCTTTTTAAAGGGTGGGGATTGCTAATCTCATGCCAAAACCTATCATCTTCCCTGGGCTTACTATCGACTAAACCAAACTCACTCACTCACTCAGAGATAAACTTTGTCAGCTTAAATACCCGATAGATTAAATTAAGAGAAAATTAACATGACTTACTAAAATAACATGTCATAACCGTGAAGTGAATGCTATGGGTTAAACTAGTTTTTTATTTATTTTTTATTCCTTTACGTCCCCAATGGAATATAGGGTGCCTTCAAGCTACAGGCTTGGAGTTTCCGTAGCAGTGGTGTTTATTTTTACGGGATGGAGTTGCGCTAGCTTCATACCCAACCTTCCCTCTTTACCAGTCTTAATAATAATAATAATAATAATAATAATAATAATAATTTGCTTTATTCCAAAACAGTACATGTGATACAGAATGGAATTCTCAGCATTTTTACTACAGTATTGCATCCAGTTAGTACATTATCAATAAATAGAATTCTACATAGATTGAGGAAACCACAGTTCATTATTACAACAATACATTGGCATGTTCAGTAGCAAAGGTAAAGCTTAAACAGTGTTTGAAGGTGTTAGAAAAGTGGGAGCTGTCTTATTAACTGGCGTAAGCGAGAGAGAGAGAGACAAAGCAGCAAATAACGGAAAAAGAGAGAGAAAAGGAACAGAAAGAAAGGAAATGTTGTACCTATTGATGAAGTGGGTTGGAAAGATGAGATCCAGTTGTACTAATGACTATTTAATGAATTATAGGTGTCACGCCTAATGCTTACTGACTTAGCGAGGTAAAGGAGTGAGTTAATGGCCTGGGATCGAACCCCGAACCACATGCATAGTTGGCAAACATTTACTGCTGTGCTATAGGAAATTATGAAGCCATGTGAATACGCATTGATTTGATTATGAGCAGTAAATTGTGCTCAGTATGTCCTCCAGTTGTTAATACTGTATGACTGTGTGTCAAATAACAGAAAAAAACTTTTCAAATATTGAATTACTATCAGCTGAGTAAACTAAGTGAGTTTTCAGAGTGTACCGGTCAAGAATCGAACCCAGACTACTTCTACGGTTGGCAGTCAAACTAAAGTCATACGAGTTTTCAACGAATTGCATCTGTGTAAAACGGTGAAGAAAAAAGATTCCCGCAGCCACCGCCACCAGCACCCAAGTAAAGCACAACTCAGACAGTCGACCTAAAGTCATAGTAGCTGAGTAATTTACTAAACCCAAAAAATAAAAACACGTAGGGGACCAGGCTTGTAGTAGTAATCATGTACACACACAACACGTGTAGGTGTCCAGTTAACAGCTTACCAATTTCTCCATTTGATAATTGCCAACACGTATGAAATCAGTGTAGGGGAGAAGCTTTTTAGCACGACATTCATTTACCAAGGATAAACATTTCTTTAAATCTTCTTTATAGGTTTCTTTAGAATCAATCGATAACACTGAGTTCAGTACATATCCAAAGGCTAAAGCTCCATTAATTTCAGGATTCTGTAAAAGAAATAGGTATATACAAAAAAAAATGAATAAGAAGGCGGAAAGGATGCCGAAATGAAAAGGAAAAAAAATTATGAAAGACAAAATAAAGCGAGTGTACGTGTATGTGCAACACTCATCAAGCTTAATTTATTCTGCAAGCTTGAAATCTAAATTTTATTATATTACTTACATTAATATTACGACTGCTATTATCATCATCATTCCCTTGGCTTCAGCAACACATCCTTATCTCACTCTGCCCCCTCCCCACCTCGTGGTCCCTTTTGCCTGGACCCATGACTGATCATACACTTCCAATTCCTCCTCACACGATCCCCTTCCTGTCACCCTAGGACACATGCTCTACTCGTCGTCTCCCATTCGCGTCCCACTCGTCAACCTGAAGCATGATGATGTCATTACTCAACAGTCTGCTGAGTGTATGCCCTACCCATCTCCATTTCCTTCTACACATATTCGTTAAGCGTGTGTGTTATAACTCCGTTGCCAATTTGTTATGCCTGAGCCTGTTAATTACTATAACGGTGGTAATGAACTGGACTGGTACGCTAATATGCCTATTGTCCGTTGTACCTTTCGGTTCATTGAGCCATGAAAATATCAAAGACACAGGCTGGTCTGTGACTATAAGACACTTTATTATACACTTTTTTTCTCTACCATAATAAAGTCAGCTCAAAACCGTGGGAATGGATTTTTCTTATTGGCTGGAAATATCTATCTTGAGTGGTTGGTGAACCGACAAAGACGAAGGTCAGACAAAAGACGATGAATTGGTGACACACACTAAATCACAATGTACGTGAGAAATGATGCACTCGCCTAGTAACTCCATCACAAGATATGAATCACACGATTTGTGAGAAAGGATGATATACCTATTTTATGCTGGGTTCCTATCAGTGTGGCATTATCACATAGCAGATGATGGATGCAGTTTACAAAGGTTTACTGCACTAGGTAGTGTTGAAGTCATTTTCAAATTACCTCACGATCGATGCTATCAAAGGTCTGTTTTCTGTGAAGTCAATGAATTCTTCGGTGAAGAGGAGTTAACTGCCGACTTATGCTCTGTTCAATGACAATTTTAATGCCCAGCGTTGCATTTTTCTCTGGGGTATGATCTGTTTTTTTCTCCGTGAATCTAGGGGAATTTCGGGCGGAATTTCACATCTACACTATATTTTATTCTCACTCACTCTCTCTGCAGGAGAATCTTAGTCAAAGGTCAATATCTCTTATCTCTAGTGAATCTTGTCAAGCATTGTCGAACACGGAAGTCACTTCAAAAGTCTTTCGCCTCCTTCACTACCCACCCACCACAAAGTCGAAAAAAATTCACATTTCCTGTTATGTTAATTGTACTAAATTTTTCATCGTGTCATTTCAGTGCATGTAAGAACAGAATTTGGGCACTGTGGTAATATTATCATTATCATAGCAAAGAAACAAAGAATATAAGCCATCTACAGTTTTACCATATAGATATAGGACATCTGAAACCCTCCCGACGTAGGATTCTTAATAAATAAGGAATTACGGTGGTACATAGACAGACCTACAAACTTGCTCAAGGACAAGCTCTGTAAGCTAAAGGAGGACCCTGCTGACTCAGCTAGACAAAATACCTTGTAATGACTGTCAGGTCAACCGTATAGGTCGAACACCAGTGTCTCTGTCTGGATTCAACATAGAACTTGATACCGAAGTGCAGGAGTTCGAGTTGCCACGTTCCAAAGGGCACACAAAAGTAGACAAGAAGATGAGTGGTGAAGAGAATCAATAGAGTTTTGTCAAGTATAAGAGTGAAACAGAGTGAGTAATAGTAGAAAGGAATATGAAAGATTACAGAGACTGAATACATCTGTGTAAGCCATTGACAACGATTTTGAGCCATGTCACCTATTGTCTCCAGCCATTGATTCTTTGGGTCCTGAGGGCGGGCCCCAACCCGGAAGTCTGCATCTCCCTCCCTACCTGACTCAGTTTAACTGTCAAGGATTTCATGGATTGATGAGGCCATGTTTTTGTTTGGCCACCACCTACTCTTTTCCAACCTGCACCTATATCAGCTAGTAATGCCCGTCCGTCGGGGGAGGCGATGGTTAGGCATGCGCAGCACATGACCTAACCATCTCAATCTATGTAACTTTATAGCGTCGTCGATTGATTTTCCCTCTTTGCCTAACACTCTACGCCTAACGTCAACATTAGTTACCACCTTATTATACCACCTAACGTGAGAAAGAGATCGTAGACATCTATGATCAAAAACAGTCAACCTTTTCATGTCTTCAACTCGCATTGGTCATGTTTCAGAGCCATAGAGAAGGACAGAGCGAACTGCTGAGCAGTACACACGTCCCTTGGTTGATAGTCGGATTTCACGCCTACGCCAGAGAACAGTGTAGATTAGGGTCATTCGGCTTTTTGAAGCATAGGAATGATTAACCTCACAAAGATGAATAGTTCAGAGAACAACTCAACAATGGTAATACAGATATATCAAAACCCAATCATCATAGAACAACAGGGTGGGACACAATTATAGTTTTAAAAAATTATATAGGTAGGTGTAGGAAGAGGTCGATTACTGAATCTTTCTTTGTTCACCGCATCTACACGCAACACACACTAAGAATGAAGCAACACGTCAATACCAGAGATGTGTAAAATATTACTACTAATAAAATTAAATGTTAAGAAATATTGGGAGTTATACGACTGCCTTGTGATATGATATGATTATGAGCAATAAACGATGCTCAAAACGTCATCAGTGTAAGACTGAGTAAATTTATCAAATAAATTTACTCTATTATGGCATTATTTCAATAAAATTATGCATTACCTGAACTCGTTCAATTAGATCTGTCAGTGAATAGCCTAAACGCATTAATTTTGGTACCATGAATGCATACAATATTGGACTGTTAGTTCTATTTAGGTTCTTTAACATATCAATAGCAGCTATTGAAAAAAAGAAAAAATAAAAATGGTAGCATTAAATGCGGGAAAAGGTATATCCTTTTTAAAAAATAAAGTCTACAAAAATATTGGGGAGTTATTGTTTTTTTTAATTTTTTTTATTAAAGCTTGACTCCACACAGTATTTTTGATACAAGTATGAAATTTTCAGCATGTGATACCGGTAGCCCAAATTTTGCAGGCCGACCATTGATATCGGGAGTGCGTCGGCTGGGAATCAAACCCCATACCATGTTCATGGTTGGCGAGCGTCCTAACCGCTGTGCCACCGATTTCTAAGTATTACTATTATTGTTCCCTTGGGTTCCGAGTGGAACATAGGGCTTAAATAACACATCCCCACTTTCTCCTATTGTCTGCTACCCTCTTTCATCTGGGCCCACGATTGTCCACAATCTCTCATCTCCTCCTCCAACTCACACGATCTCCCCCATGTTACCCTCACACTGACAACCTACTCGTCGTTTCCCATTCCGGTTCCACTCCAGCGATGGCCTGTATTCAGCGCGATGTCATTCGACAGACTCATCAGCGTATGCGCGATCTATCTCTGCTTTATCCTAGATATTTGTTGTAGGATCGGCTCTTGATTGGTTTGTTCCCATAGTTTCGTGTTGCTAATTCCTTCTGGCTGGCATTTTCGGTCTTCAATAAGGAGCCAGTGAAGACAGCTGTTGGTAGAAATCTGCGGTGGCCTGTTGGAAATGCTTTTCGTGACGTGAGCGCTAAGTTTCTCATCCACATAGGTGAACTGATTGACTTCAGAAATGTGTTGAAAATCCGAATCTTGTTCTTTATGCTGAGGCGGAGTGCAGAAGATTTGTTAATTGATTTCAGGGTAATAAAGACCGGCCTTATTTTTCCGACTGCGGTTCCTACATCGTCATCTGTTCCGCCAGTAGCTGAAACGATTGTACCTAGTATAACTGAAGGAAGTGACCTCTGTCAAACTTATTTCGTTGATAGTGATTGGTGCTGGACGGTGTTGTTTTTGACAGTTTACCTTCACCTCCGTTTTCTCTATAGTTCACCTGAAGTCTTGGCTTCGCTGCCTGTCTCTTCTGTCAGTTTGTTGGTTTTCGCCTGCAAGTCTTTGAGATTGTGCGTCAATAAACAAAAATCGTCTGCGAAATCCAGATCTTCTAGAGTCTTCTTATCGGTCAGTGCAGCGTATTCCTGTCTTCTCACTCCCTGCACACAGTCTGACGCATAATACAGTCCACCACAATTAGGAATATCATCGGTGATAGCCTTGTCTTACTGCTGTACTCACTTCAAACGCCTCGTTGAGTTTTCCATTGTGGATCATCTGACATGTGCCACTGTCATACAGCCGCTGAATGAGGTTCATAAATACTTCGAGCACTCCACAGTGTTGAAGCAGTTTCGAAATCACTTCGTAGTCAACGCTGTCGAAGGCCTTTTCAAGGTCGATAAAGTTGAGGTAGAGATTCGACTGCCATTCTATGCTCTGTTTGATGATTATGCATAGAATTGCAATTTGATCAGTATATGATTTGCCTTTCCTGAATCCAGCTTGTTTCGATGGCGGGAGAGTCCTGCATCTAGTGCATTTTTAATTCTCTATTGCATGAATCAACTCGGTATTTTACTGCGCGTGGACAAGAGAATGATTCCGCTCCAGTTCTCGCAGTGGCTTAAATCGCTTTTCTTTGCTATATTCACAATACAGCCTTTCTTCCAATCACTGGGTAGATACCTTTCCTTCTTCCCAAACGTTTTGCAGTCTCTGGGTCCGTTTCCAGTGCTTCAGGGGCGAATTCCGTCTGGTCCTGATACGTTCTCAGACTTTGGTAACTTGACTGAATTCAAGATTTCTGTTTTCGCTGGAGGATTGGTATCCACTGGCAGGCAGTTCTGTTAGTGCCGATGGTGGTATTTCTGGACGAGTTGTAGGTGGTGGTCGATTCAAAAGTCCTTTGAAGTGGTCAGCCCATTTTTTATTTGCTAGGTTTCCTTGGACACCTCTTATTGGTTTCATTTGTTTTGATCCCTTCCGCGACAAAGACCTAGTTATGCGACATATAGTATTCGGAAGTCTCTCTTATCCTCGGTCTGTTGTGCTTCACTTGTCAGTGTCGTAGATTTGCATTCAGTTACGCAATGTTAACGACTATCTTCAAGCCGAATAATTAAAATATGTGAATACTTTTCAGTTACATTAAAGCCGTTCTGCATTCCACACGCAGTTGATAAAAGTCGACAATGCAATGAAATCTTATTATGCTGCTTAGTTTGTTATTCTTGCTTTGTTCGAGTCAAAGAGAAACCGGTCGATAAGGTGGTTGGAAATACAGGGGTTAAAATCATCTGAGATATAGGCTACTCTCTCTCTCTCTCATGTTAAGACATCACATTCTTCGTGTATTTGCGGTTGAAATACGATTAGGTTGGGAACAGATTTAGGGATGATCACACTAAAAATCTAGATACTACATGACTAATAGTTTATTCATACCCGACCGAAAGCTACTACCTTGACGTGATGGTCGGGCTTGAACACCGCAATGACCCAACAAGCTATACTGGCTGAGACTTATGTCGCTTGAGGTTCTACCATGCCAGAAAGGGTGTTTGGATAGCGGTTAGACAAAAAGCAGTTACCCAACCCAATGCTATGACTCAAAGTAAACCACAAAATATCATGCCGGGTCGGTCGGGGCACGTATTAACAACGACCGCGCTTCCTGCTGCCATGTCACAGGGCAGAAGTGATAAATATGCTACTGAGACACACCAAATGAAAAAGAACAAACAAAAATAGGCCGTGTGTGACCGGCCTCAAGCAGTTGTCCCCTGGGCTCTGCGGTCACGCAACCAACTTCCACGGTGTGGGCAGCCGGGAAGTAACAATCGCCCTCACAATCCGAAGTGCACGCGAAACCTCTCTAATCCTCACTCATTTTTGTCTTCATCTTCATCTCTATTATCTTGCCTTTCTTCTACTAATGCAACTCCTCTACTTGATGGCGCTTCACTTCCTCCTCACTCTGTGTGCACTGAAAACGACGGAAGCCAAAAAACCACCATCATACAATGAAGTCTAGATCGACTAATCGGTGGAAACAAAACGCTGAAAATTAATCGCAGCATTCTGACTATACGCCTTTATGCTGTTCACGACGGCAGATATATACATGTATACATAAGCACTTCCCAATAACACAATTTGAAGTACTTTGCAGTTAGGAATGTATCATAAATTCATCGCTTGAGAGCAGAAAGTTAGACAGTGAATAAAAACAACAGTCAACTAACCTTCGGCATTGTTTTCTTCGATGTATTTCGAAAACTGATTGGCCAATACGCTAGGCGGTCTAGTACTTCGGCTGAAATCTTGGAAAAGGAAACACAATTTACCAGTATATGAGCAAATTTACACTATCAGTAGAATCTTAGGCAACAAAACACCATTCAAGGTGCATACTACTTTACAAACCACACACATCCTTCATTCTACTCTGGCTTCATGATTTTACCAAGTCCATAAAAGGCAAGAGTCAGGCATCACTTAACACCACACTTTCGACTATTGTGTCCCCGGTGTCAATGTAATCCCACCACCTGCTTTGCTGCTGCTGGATTCAACATAGAACTTGGCACCGAAGTGCACCAGTTCGAGTTGCCACGTTCCAAATAGCACACAAAGGTAGAGAAGATGAGTGATGAAGAGAATCAGTAGAGTTTTGACAAGTATAAGAGTGAAACAGAATGAGTAATGGTAGAAAAGAATATGAGACTGAAGATTACAGAGACTGAGTACATCTGCGTAAGCCATTGACAATGATTTTGAGCCATGTCACCTATTGTCTCCAGCCATAGATTCTTAGAGTCCCGAGGACCCCAACCTGGAAGTCTGCATCTCCCTACCTGACTCAGTTTAACTGTCAAGGACTTCATGGATTGATGAGGCCATGTTTTTGTTTGGCCACCACTTACTTACCGTCAACATTACTTACCTTATTATACCACCTAACGTGAGAAAGAGATCGTAGACATCTATAATCAAAAACAGTCAACCTTTTCATGTCTTCAACTCGTATTGGCCATATTTCAGAGCCATAGAGAAGGACGGAGCGAACTGGTGAGCAGTACACACATCCCTTGGTTGATAGTCGTATGTCACGCCTACACCAGAGATGGCGTAAGTTAGCGAAAGCAGCTTGTGTCTTTTGGATCCGTGCTGAGATTTCGTCACCAATCAATCCGTTGGCGCTGATACAACTTCCCGAATAGGTGAAGTGGTCAACATGCTCTATCACTTCACTCCCTATCACTAAGCTAGGAGTTGACGTAGTCCAGTCCTGTAGCAGCACCTGCTTTAACTAGAGGTTTTCATAAATGTCCAAGCCTTACATGTGGCTCTAGTATTTTCAGTGTCTATACCGAGTGCCCCAGTTGCACAACTATACTTTCACAGAAATCATTGTAATACAACAAGCATATAGTTAGAACTCGGTTACACAGTGTCGAGATACAGGCCACACACTCATACCTTGAAGGCTAATAACACTACCCACTTGTCCCAGATTGACGTAGGCGGAGTGAGGCTCGAGCCCTGGATCCATTGGCTAGAAGTCGAGTGTTTGGGCCAATGAGCCACATCCCCACTGGCTGGATTCAACATAGAACTTGGCACTGAAGTGCAGCAGTTCGAGTTGCTACATCCCCACAATGGGAATATGTTAGGAAAGGCACTTTGCACTATAGTTACACCGATAACTACTTCAAAAAGTCCTCTACAACATAATGAGCAGCAAGGTATTACTTTATCAAGGCTGGATAGTCATAAATTTAAGTAGACAAACTGTAGGGAGTATTGGCATTCGCATAAGTCGATATGTAAATCATTACAACTTACATAATTTACATTTATTCTTGAGCACCATCAATTGTTTATTGTCTAAACGGGCTGCATCCCAAAATGGTTCCAAAGCTTCTGAATTCTGTAATAGGGAAAAGAAAAGCAGAGTAACAAGTCATTTGATGAGATAAAATAATGATAATGCTCAAGAGTTGGTTAGTAAGGATCCAACTAGTTACAGATTTGATCACAAGCTGCCATCGGTTAGAGAAACAGTGGGAAAGCCGTTCTGTCCTGGTTTGGGACTTTTCATCAGTAAGCACCCACTGGAGTTCGAACTCTATGTCTTCCGGTTACAAGGCGAGCTCGTAGACCATTAAGCAGCTGCTGGGACCCAGTCGAATGGCCCATGAATTGCTACCTCTGCCAATTCGTGATATGTAACGACAATTAGTTGTAACAAGTGACAATTATTTCAACAGTTCGCCTCAGAAAAAAGGTAATCAAATAACTTTTATGCAAGAATTATGAAGAAAAAAAGTCACTTACCAAACCACCAGTAGCAGCATATTGTGGAAGTGACTGTAGATAACCGTCAGTTGCATTTTCTGGGCGCATAATTTTGAAAATTTCCAAAGCAGCAGCTGGACGTCCTTTGGCTAAGAGAACTTTCACAGTATCTTGGGCAAAATCATACGGGAAAAAGTCATCCGTTGGCGACAATTTTTCAAGTATCTATAAATTCACATAAATAAAAAGAATAATAAAGCAGAATAATGTTACCAAGGTATATATAGCAACGGGAAAGTTAACTTAAAAATAAGTTTCCTTACACTCTATATCACAAATTTTAGCTCAAAATGCTTTTCATATGGGTCATTTACCGGGTTAGTGTGTGACTGTACAAAGTAAAACTGTTATTCGATTCAGTGGCTACATTATGACTGACTGAAAGTTTCAACACAGAACTTCATACAGAAAGAAGTACAGCAGTTCAAGCGGCCACATTTCATGTAGCACACAAAGTTAGACAAAAGAGAAAAAAGAATTCAGAAGTAATGTAGTACGCAGAAATGGAGAGAGAAAGAAAGAAAAAAAAGAACATTAACGTGGACATCGAAGATTACAAAGAGTGAATGCATCTGAGCCATCAGTGAGAACGATTTTGAGACACATCTCAAATAATCGTCAGTCATTGGTTCCTAGCAGACAGTCTACATCTCTTCACGTGGACCGAAAACTTCAAGTTTTTGGTTGACCACCCCCTAACTCTCAACCTAATCGTATGTCAGCCAAAGAAATAAATGATGGTCCCATTATTATTCTGCACAAACCACTGCTGTTCTTGCTTTATTCAAATTCATCAAGGGGAATAAATGCATGAAGTTTCAGCTAATGTCGCTCTCCGACGGAGACAGTAGTTTGGCACCTTCAACACGTGTCCAAGTCATTTCAATAGATATATCCACATAACCACATCGAATGACTTCTACTCCTTACCTAACACTCCAACCTAACCTCAACATTGCTCACTATATTGTACCAATTAACACGGAAGATAAAACGTAAATGTGTAGTCACAGACAGCCAGCCTTTTCATATCTTCCACTTTCAACGACTATATCTCACAGCCACAAAGGACAAAGTGAACTGCTGCACTGTGCACACATCCTTTAATCTATAACCACATACCATGTCTATGCCAGAGGAGTCGTAGATTGGCAAATGCGACACGAGCCTTTTGTATCCATGCTGCGATTTTATCAGCAATAATCAGACTATAGTAGCTGATGCAACTTCTCAGATGAGTGAAGTGGTCAACACATTTTACGTCTTTACTCTCTATCTTTAACCCATATTGTGCACTCAGCAATAGATATTGACGACAAAGCCAAAGTATAAACAATTTACATACATAAAAAAGACATTTTACTATACCTCAATGCATGCTGCATTTGAATCTGGTTGTGAACAACTTATTCTCGTATAAAGATCCATGAGAAAAGTAGGTGAAATTTCTTTTCCAAAGTGTTTTTCATCAGCATTTACAAGTGAAGGAAGTACAGCGTAAGCTTCATCGAGAGTTCGTAGTAAACTTTGTTTATCTCCAAGATCAGCATAAGCAGATAGAAGACCTTCATATGCATATCTGGATGGCCATAAACCTATTTCGGATAGTAATTCTTGTGTTGAAGAAACTTCTTCAGGCAGTCTGGAAAGTTAATAAAATAAACCAAAGTCAGTTCAAACGCTGAGCTACTTATAATCATTTAAGACTAATAGTATTCCTTAAAGACTAGTCCAAAAATATAATTCACATTGTGACGAAAAATTAACATTATCAAGCAAGTAAAGGATTGATAAATCCGCATGGAAAATGGTAAAGGTTGGTGAATTCGATTTTATGTAAGGCAGTGTTTGATAAGACAGAGTGATTGAGTATGAATAACTGGTCCCGTAAAGTACCACTAGAAATGCACATACCAGTAAAGTAGAATGGTAATCGCGAAAAAGTAGATATGTTTCAGATCATTGTAGGAGTATTGATTACAAAATCGAATTATGTGGATGAATCCATGCAAATCTTACATTATCTCGTTTAGAAGACCATTCATCACTTTCACCTAAATTCCAGAGGGTTTGTACCGTCAGAAAGTAACCACAAGCCTGCCGACGGTTACATTACACTATTACAAACACATCACAAAAACATAACTTATCCCGAATACAAGTAGAGTTAGGGAATAGCAAACCAAGACGAACAGATGCATCAATTGCATTCAAACAACCAACAACATCAACCAGAACAATTTGGGTAAAAGAAGAGAAACAGAGACAATCATCCATAACAAATAAAAAGAAAAGCATCCTGTCTATTTTTCTTGACCTTTTGAGTATTTCTCTGCGACTATGTTGTTTCCACTAAGTTCCACTACCTTGATTTGATTACACACTAGGTTATTGGAGCCTTCCTTCCCTTGGGTCGCTATAACTCAACTTCATTGTAAACGAAACTGAGCTCAAAATGCATGATCTCGTTTGCTGATATAATGCAAATTCTGAGTGGTTAATCGTATTTGTATCTAAATTTTCTTACTCTGACTAAACACAGAACATCACACTGGTTACGTACCCTTAGGGTATTTGACGCACACCGCTTACCCAGATGGTAGTCACCAAAACAAAATTACTTCGCCTTACACAGAAACCTCTCTAAACCTAACATGTCTATTTTTTGTAAGACCTCACTCATAAGTTTAAAAGTGATAATCACTACACCTCTCACAAATTATGCTGATAAGAAATCTTAAAATTGCGATCAGTTCGCTTACCCTGCTTTAACATAACCATGTAGAATTTGAGAGAATATATATGAATTCGGCCTCAGACCAGCATCGCGAAGTAGTCGCAAGTATGAGCTAAAATTTATGGTTATTTATAAGTGGTATTACTTTGTTTGATTCATGTCACCGACAGCACAACTTTGATGTATGAAGACGCCGAAAATTCGCTGGAAAGTAAAGAAATTATTTTAAGAAGTGGACATACTGTAGTAGGAAGCATATTAGCCTCACGCATATCCTTTAAAACTTTTTCCGCATCTATATGTATTCCTAATCTGACTCTCATGTTCAAGTATCTCTCAGCTAAAAGCACATCACCAGCTGAACGCAAAATTACGTAATTGCGATAGGATTGAGGTTACCTTCTATAATACTGTCCCAAAAGTGGTCAGTGAACTTCGCATTCTCCTTGGCGCTATACAAAGCGCTTTTAAGCCTTTGTTTACGCAAAAACTGCTCTAGCTTAGTAATATCATCGGTTTTTTCAAGTCCCTTGAATGACTGTTCCCCATTGTACGGTTGGTAACGTGTTTTCTGGACGGTGGAGAAACATATAACGCCTTGGGGCAAAGTGAAAGATTTAGGACTCAGGTGCTTCGAGATAGCCCTATTTGAAAACACCAACCGAGCACCAAATCTGGACAACAGACCCGACATGACGAAGTAACGCTGCTTTACTGATAAAGCGCCGTAGGTATTCGATATTAAATGCTCAATGCTTTGGCAGCTGCCTGATGTAAAACCTACTAATTTTTCGTAGCTAGTTTGCGACTGTCACAGTATGACTGTACATACATGGCAGATTTCGGCGCATAAGATCTGACCTGTCCCAGATTGCGGTCATTTTGAAGACTGAAGAGAATAATAGTGGTCATCAGGTATTATGCCTTCATTTGAAGGGTATCACGTTGTTCACTGTTTTATAAGTCATTGTCAGGTCACCCCTATTCCGTTTACAAAGTTCCAGCCTTTAAATTCAGTGACAGTTTAATACTTATTGACATTAAGTATGACTCCATATATGACCTCTCGATTAGAAAATGACTGTCACCCTAACAATTAAGCCAATCCTTCTTGCTTTCTAAAGCCGACGACAATGTCACATATCCACCTGACAGAGCGTTTGTGCAGCCTGAGTTTTGGGCAAGTCATTAACGCAAATGGGAAACAATAATGGCCCTAAGTTAGGGACTTGTGATACTGCAGGTGATTACATGTAGATTGAGCGCGATTCACTTCCTAAAGTAATTCCCTGATTTATAGCTTAAGTTTAACACAGAGTAGCAGTGAGCTCATGACCACCATTTTACAGATCTTCCTAAAGAGAATTCCATGTGACGCATGATTGAATGCTCTGATTAGATCCATAAACGTTCCGATATTCTGGTCTCAATATTCCATTCTTTTTTTCTGAGCTACTCAGTCATGTTTGAAGTAATTATAGCAAACCTATAGGTATGTTCTATTCCCTAAAGTTTGCGGGTGGTGAGTTGGCGTCGCCGGCAATAATGTTGTAGTATAACCCAGTGGTCGAATCCATGCTGACTGCTTCAAGTAAATGACGTTTTTGGTCTAGCGTTCCCGGGACCCACAAACCAAAAACCTCGTAGGACATACAAACACGTACCACACCACTGACTGAAAGTTTGTTTACTGCCATGTCAGCTGATAATTCCGACTGGATGTAGAACACAACTTACAAGGTAACTTCATATCGATATGTTTCTATTCTACACTATGTCATCTCATGAGTACTCACTTTGTCGGCATAATCTACGGATCATTGGATGTCAAAATACTAGAGTTGGCTCACAAAGGTCCTATATCTGGAAGCCATCCATCCCCACAGACAGTCATCGCCACCGATATACATCATACGCTCATTGCCGATAAAAACAATATATTTACATGTGAACAGGTAAATTTACATGAAATGCAATGCTATTTTTATAGACACAATCAAATACAGTTTAAACCACGATCCCAAAATGGCCACAGACGAGTACTGTTTCGATGCTTTGTGTGGTTGAACTATAACGTGAGTTATCGGAATAGTTCCATCTAAGTGTTAAAATATAAAGTTCTCGCCAGGGTCCAGAGGGAATCCAAATTCCATTCCGTTTTTAACACATGATTGTACTCAATCAATAACTTGTAGGGGATTAGAGAAGTTCGTCAAATCAGTTGAACTCCAGCTGTTTCATCTCCAGCAGTCAATTTGTGTGACACAAATAAATTTTGATCGGATATATGGTACACGTCTACTGGGAACTAACCCACAAAGCAGTACACACGAAAACCACGCAAGGACACAACTAGTATCAAACAATAGGTGGAATAATAAACCATGGTCATCACAAGGTTCCAATCATTTTTATCCCCTGCGTCCCTGTCAGCGTTGAAAAAACAGCTGGTAGGGATGTTAACACTCCTAGGCCACTAGCGCTGGCTCCCCCCTTGAATGAAAACAGGAACAGTCTACTGCACCCGCAACCATTAAGCACACTTGATACTTGCACAAGGATAGGTGAAACAAAGAGCACTACCCACGTGGCTAGCCTAACTAAAAATAAAAATGCCTTAACCTATAGCAAATCCAGTACTCCAACGCTTAATTCTTCACTGAAAACAGCACACACCAACTCGATAGACATAGATGAACATGATGATGAAACTCCTCTTAACATAGGGTCGTTTTGTCAAACAGTACTACATGGTGCTGAACCATATTCGGGGCTGAATAACGAGGTTGAATACTTCAAATGCTATTTCAACTCTCATCTTTACCTAATCCTCATAAATGCTAGATCTGTTCTAAATAAACTACCGATGCTCAGAGCACTCACAGTAATATACCAACCCCCTATAATTGTCATCACTGAATCTTGGTGTCATTCGAACATACTGGATGGAGATATAAGCTTAGATAACTACACACACTTTAGATGTGACAGGGAAGGTGGTAAGGGAGGGGGTTGTCTCATGTACTTTCTGAATGCACTTACTGTATCACGGCTAGAAATTAGTACACCTAACATGCCTGGGACGTTATGGGTTAACTTACACTTAAATAACGCAATAGCATTAATTGGATGCACCTACAGAGCACCTGGTAACTTTAGTAGTTACAAGACCCAACTTATTAATACTCTAGAACAATTATCCACCCTACACTACGATCATAAGACCCTATGTGGAGACTTTAACTTACCAGAAATCAACTGGGAAATACCCACAGGCCCAACTAAATTTGATAAGTTCTTAGGCACACTGGATATACTTGGCTGGAAACAGACTGTCACAACCCCTACAAGAGGTAATAACGTACTAGACTTAATCTTCTGCCACAATATAAGTCCCCTTTCTACCCTAATAGGTTCTGAGTTTTCAGGGAGTGACCACAAAACAGTGGTGCGTGCACTGCCACTTCTGTCAAGTAGCAATGCAGCTCATACCCCTACTTTACAACAAATAACATACAGGAACTACAGTAAGTTAGACTGGACTCTAATGAAATCAATGTTAAGATCCTCAAAATGGAGAGAGTACTTCTATACTGATAACCTCTCGAAGGCTCTAGACATCTTTTACTATAACTCCAACACATGCTTAGATGCTGTCATTCCACTCCAAACACTTAAGCCTTCCCCACATAGAAAGTCATTCATAAAACCAAATGATCGTACGAAACTGAAGAGACTCTCGACAAGTTACTTCAAACACCACGACTTTGGCACACTAGGTTTAATACTTAATACCCTTAGCTCCATCTCACAAGCTCGAGATTTCTGCATGAGGAACGAAGAACCCATCGCAGTAGCCAGTCCCGATAGAGTGTATGCACTCACAGAAATCTTAAGGAAGCAAATGAACCGCGAAATTCACAGCATTTTTCTCCTCATAGACAAAGGTGGGCTATGCACTAATGCTGCAGATATGTGTGAATTATTCAGCAAAACTTTTGCAGGTAACTACCTTAAGCCCTCAGTCCAGTTACTCGATATACACCCTGCTACTAATATGGCACAAACTCCATCTCCACTCACACCAAACCAAATTAGCACTATTGAATTCACTTATGCTAACATTAACCAAACTATAAGAACCCTCAAAAATTCAAAAGGTTTTGGTACTGACGTTATATCATCCTATTTTTACATGAGGGACGCCAGTTTACAGGCATCATCAATATGATGAATTACATATACGATTAGTAATCATATCTAACAATAGTAATTTAATAAAATACACCTGTGTAGGACACACCAATTGTACAGGCATGGATAAGTATTATTTAAATTACATAAATTTGGTTCATGGTTAAATAATGTGGTTGCAGTCATTTTGTCTATGGGAACAATATGATA